TTACTTTTAGCCATGCAATATAAATTCTGACTGACACCTGATTGTTGCCTTTGGTGGGTGAGATATAACACTAGAAAAATATCCTGTGTTACTCTTTTCCCCAATTTGCATTTAGGCTAAAATACTCTTTTAAGCAAGAAGTAGCTTCCCCTTTGACTCCTGACCTTTGCTTTTACTTATGTCATTTTGATGTGGTCATTTTGGATTTTCATAAATGACTGAAGGGCAAATTGGTTAAGATGATAGAAAATTATTATAAGGAAAAACATTCCTTAGGGAACAAGATTGAGACATAAAAATAATTTACTGGAAATTCATATCTAGATTAATTTAAACTCTAGATATAAAAAAACAGACTAGTGTTTGAGACCTGTTGTTCATCTTTTTTGTGTACAATGTGTCTTATCATGAAAGCCAATAGAGCAAGCCCTTTAGGCTCTTTTGCTGTGTAAATAAACACTGTTTTGTTGTACAGTGAGGACATAATTGTGTAGTTAAAGGGACTCCTAAACCTTGATGAAAAGTGGCCAGTATTGGGTCTAGACAGTGCCCCTTATATGGAGCAAAAGGCTGCCCTAGCTGATTTCCAGGAAGATACTTGTGACTGTCTTATACAAAACTGCAAAGTCTGTCTTCACTTCCCTCCGCCTTCCTTTCTCCACCCCATTTTTCCCACTTAGCAACTGCCTTGCTTCTCACTCCTCTGCCCTCCTCCCATTCTCAAAGGGCCCGTGGCCAGCCCAGGCCTTCCGTATTCAGTGACTCACCCAGGCCTGCTCTTCTCATAAAGAGCACTTGTTCTAAAACTTGTTTTCCTCCTCCCACTCCCTGCCACTATCCATTTCCATAAATGTTAGGTGTGTAGCAGTTAGAGTAAAGTAATCTCTATACCTAAACCATCCAGAAAAGTTCCCTTTCCTTATTGTACAGCAGTAGGGCTGACCATAGCCTGAACCTGTAATGTCTGAAGCCACTGTATGATTTGTATGATTTCCGCATGCCCAGCATCTTTCTTACCTCCTTTCTCGTGCTTTTCTCTGCCTTCACACTCCTGAATCTGTTTCTGGTCTGCCCCTCAATAATCTGGCCCTAATTAATCTTTTAAGAGGCCTACTCACATCCTACATTTTGTGATTTGTTTAGTTTTGTTGCAGAAATTTGGGTGGTTGTTGGGAGACTACATCCCCCTGTGCTGTGCCACCTTTCACAGTCCTGCTCACCCCTTTTGTCACTCAACCTCCTGCTGTCTTGCAGGCAGTCAGAGAATTCCTTGTCTTAGGGCAGGAGAGGCAGTTTCACCCACATTTAGAGCCCCTAAAGATCTCAGTTTCCACCTCAAAAAGCTTATCAAGGAATTTTGTAACACTAAGACTTATCTATGAAAGTAATATCCAGTTTTTCACCTTGTTAGGGTAGAATAGGTAGTTGTGAAGAAGGAGGATCCTTCCCCTGGCCACAGAGAATAACAATGATTTAGCTTTAAAGAGACACTAACAAATATGGATTCATGAAGGTGGAGCCCAAGGCTTGAGCCAAAGCGAAATGCAGGCTGTGGATTGTTTCCAAATGGTGCCCCTATTGACATTCAAGAGGAAGACCATGGCCGGAGTGGGGAGGAAGCGAACCAGATGAAGCCGGTATCCAGGAAGGTTGCAGAGGCATCTGAACCAGTGTGGAGAAGACCTGAGCCACGTGAGGCAAGAGCCAGAGGCTGAGGTAGACATTGCTGCGTACAGCATAGGATGGGGCAGTCTCTGTGTGCAGGTGGATTGGACCATCATGCCCTTCCTCTGAAGCCCCAGTTCACAGGAGCTGGGGAGGCCCTTAGACCCTGTCCAGTACAGTCCCCTTGTGGGTTACCTGCTGCTCCTAAGAAGCACACTCATTCCTGATTCTTATTCTTCCTTTTTTCTCTAATCTTTGTGCAAACTGCATCCTTCTAAGAACAGTCTTTTCAGTCTTTAGTGCTAAGTTGCTTGCTTCTTTCCTGTTGGTTACTTTCTGTTGCTCAGTCCTTAACTATACTTGGCTCATTCTCAAGGCTTAGGCATACCTTTTCCACTTTCAGATTAACTGTTCATATGTGGGAGTTAATCCATGGATTAACAAATGTCACTCTCAGACAATGCCCTTATAATTCTGGGAGTGTCTTATAACAGTCTAGTCATGGTTAGGAGACTTGGCTCTGGAAACACACTGCCTGGGAAGAGTTCCATCCTTGACCTTCGCCAGCCAGGAGATGCTTGACAAGTGATTTTACTGCATGCCTCAGTTTCCTTACATTGTCATTTTGTAGATTAACTGAGTAAACCATGCAAAACTAACCAGTGCATTTGCACATGTGAATACTAAATATATGTGAGCTATTGCTATTACTACTGTTTAATCATTTGTGAACTGTCAGGAAAGGTTGGAAAGGAATAGAGTTTATATTATATTCATGTTTTAATTTATTTTAATTAGTATTACTACCATATTAAGACTGTGTATAACATTTATGTTAGGCAAGTCATGGGTTAAGACTTAGTGGTCAGTTAATGCAAGAGGAGCAAACAAGTGCTATGGCTCCAGGCAGGGAAGTTGAGTCAGGACAGGTGAATGTCTGAGAAGATGGAAGAAACACCTGCTCATTCCTGTGTGCTGTATTTTGGTTTTAGTCTTAAGGGTTTGTATGGCTAGGATGAGGGAGTGCCTGCCCAGCCCCACCCAAGTGTCAGATCTTTGGGATGGGTGCCCCCATCACCATTAGAACATGTGTTGAAGCCAGTTATCTGAATCTTGCCCATCTTTCCCAGCCATTGTCCTGGCCCCCACTTTCTGCACAAATCCTCCTCTGAGAATCCCACCTGCAGTCATTGCTTTGGAGTTCCTGTAGCCTTATGTCAGCACTGCCCTGATAGCCCTGACTTGTTGCCTTGCTTGTGCTATTACTTATTTTAATGTAGATGATCCATCTCCCTGTTTGGACAAAAGCCTCTTGTAGCCATGTACTGAGCACGCGCCTTATGTGTAACACTTATTTAATTGATACCCCTGTCTGTGTACAAATTTGGGATTATGATTTCTGTTCTTTTAAAGGATTAAACTGAGAGAGAGAGAGAGAGAGAGAGAGATAGGGAGGGAGGGAGTGTGAAAAATACTATGTGTATAAAATAAAGAGTAAGCTTAGGGTTATCAAATTTTCTCTTCATTTTCAGAAGAAACACACCATGGAATAATCACCCTTAAGAGGAAGGAATTTTAAAAGTAGGTTGTAGTTGTCTTGCACGGTTGGAGTGTTAGCACCATAGGATGATAAGAGCTCAGGCCTTACAGGGAAAACTGGCAAATCCCATTTTTGCCACTTAATAGGTGTGCACTCCTGGGCATCTCACTTAATCTTCCTGAGCCTCAATTAACACTAATGTAAATACATTAGTAAAGTCTACCTTGTAGAAATATTATTCCCAATCATATCTTAAAAGAATGTGAGCCCTATCACCATCAAATTGGTACTGACTGATTAAACTATGGTGCTCAAATGGTGGTAGTATTCACCAGGGATTGGGGGGGCAAGTAGACCCACATCTTAGGGATGTGGTGAGCATTGTGAAGGGAAAAGGCATACCTCTAACCCTTCATAAGGAGAGGCAAAGATATAAAATGTAACCAAAATGTCAAAAAAAAAAAAAACAAAAACTTTATCAGGTGACAGGTAGGTGGGAGGGGGAAGAGGGGATGGGTATATACATACATAATGAGTGTGATGTGCACCAACTGGGGGATGGACACGCTTGAAGCTCTGACTCGAGGGGGGAGGGGAGGCAAGGGCAATATATGTAACCTTAACAATATTTGTACCCCCATAATATGATGAAATAAAACAAATAAAAAAAGAAAAAAATAAGAATGTGAGCCCCAAACATAATAAACTCTTAAATAATGATAGCTATTTAACAGGTAACTAACTTTTTTTTTAAATAAACTTTAGGAGATAGGAAAAAATACATAAATAGAATTTGTATTATTTTGATCTGTACATCATGCCCCTTTGGCTGCCTATAGGATAAATCTACTGAAATCTTAACACTTGATCCCAATACCCAAGGATCTGTCCCATTTGACCATTTCTTTCCCTACTCAAAGTTTCATCTCCGGTTCTAGTTGGAGAATGCTTGATCAAGCACATAGGTGCTCACCTTAAGCCTGCTATCCCCCTGCCTGGAATTCCCTGTATTATCACCAGCTATCCAGATCCCATCTGCTGTACAAGCTCGAAGTCACATCCCATTATTTCAGCACCTCTGCCCCTCTGAAGCTGGCATTTAGTGCCTTCCCTGCCTCTGAATTCCTGAGCACTCGCTGTTCTTAGTTTCCTTTGGATTCTTGTTATTTTCACCTTTATTATTTTCTATTTTTATATATATAGATTTCCTCTCAGCCAGAACAGGACCACACTTAACCCTCTTTTTAAGATACTATTTATTGTGAAATATAGTGTATATACAGAAAAAAGTACACTGTTTCAAAATACCTACCACCGAAGTTAAGAAATAGAATATAACCAGTACCTCATTTGAGTTGTTTCCAGTTTATGACTGTTTCAAACACTGCTGCGGTTAACATTTTGATACTGTCTCCTGTTGCATGTGTGCAAGAGTTTCTTTAGGATATACGCCTATGACCTGAGCTGCTGTGTTGTGTAATAGAATGTAAGCATTTTCAACTTTACTAGGTAGTGCAAATGTTTTCTAAGTTGTTGTGCCTTTCCTATCCACAATAGATTGGTCCTTCCATGTTGTGCTGAACCAGTACTACTTTTGCATTTTTATATGTATTTAACACATAATTGAATGATTTTACAAGTATTTGTGTCACAATTTCACAGTGAACTCAGTTTCTTTTCTAGCCGCTACTGCAGGATGGAAAGTGCACTGTTAAGGCTACAGAACAAAGTGCGGCTGATCTTTGTGTCAGTGCTCAAAATCCACTAACGGTTTCAACTTGTGCTCACTTGGCAGGTTTGGTGCAAATGCCAAAGTTGTGCATTTCCTGGGACGAGTCAAACCATGGAATTATACATATGATCCCAAAACAAAAAGTGTCAGAAGTGAGTCCCATGATCCCACCATGACTCATCCAGAATTTCTCAACCTGTGGTGGGACATCTTCACCACCAATATTTTACCTCTGCTTCAACAATTTGGCCTTGTCAAAGACACCTGCTCATACCTAAATGTGGTAGGTTCTGTTTTTTTCTTTCTAATAATTTAATACTGCCTTATGAAAAACTTGTTATATCAATAGAGATTGGGGAATATTTAGCAGTATTTTAAGCAAAGAGATAAATAAAACTTTCTGGAAAGAAAACAATGATCATCTTAGAGCGAATATTACAGCAAAGAAGTAGCAAAAATAGTGTAGCAAATTTCTTTAGAGCTAAGAACATTAGAAAAGTTTTTAGAGTTTTGTATATATGCCCATGTATTGTAACTACATAATTCGTAGCCCATTGTCATATGAAAAAGATTCTGAGATTATTCCTAAAAGTAATAGTGTATAAAAATAAAGATTATTTCATTTAATGTTCTAGAACCTGCAAGCATTTAGATATATTTTATATTTGCCACCTGCTTAGATGAATGTTATCAGTGAAAATAATAACAATATGAACATAAAATAAATACTTTTATAGGATTATTTTGATTTCTTATGTTTGTACTCCTATAAATTAGGAGTACAGGATCCTACAGTATGTAGGATCTTGAAAAAGAAATTTATTTGTAGGAGGAAGAAAACATGTTAACATTTATAATAACAACCCTCTTTAGCATCTTTTCTGACTTTAAAGGTCCTCTGAGTTTTGTTCTTATGGAAGAATTGGAAGAGGGTGAGGAATTAAACTTTTATGTTACATAATAAGATATAAAGAGTAAAACTGAATGGGTGAGTTATAATTAGGTAATCAGTTAATCATTTGGCTAAAAGAGATTATAATATTGTAAGAGGTTATGGCATAGATTTTAGCCATTTCACTTATTAGCATTTTTACCAAAATATATTATAGAAAGGAGAAAGGGATAAGAAACTAACAGCATGCATTCTTACTCTAAATGCCTTACATGGATCATGAGATAATACTTGTACAGTACTCAGAATGGTGCCTGGCACTTAGTAAGTGCTTAATAAAAGTTACCTAGTCTTATTTAACCCTTATAACCACCCTATCAAGTTAAGTACTAGTATTATTAATATCCCCTTTTTATAAATAAATTAACTGAGGCTTAAGAAAGCTATATAACTTATCTTAGTTATTTAATAGACTAGCTAAGTAGCAGAACTAGGACTCAAATCCAGGTCTGAGAGAAATTTGAGATGGATGTTAGTTAAGGTATTCCTCTACAGCCCAGAATTAAGAATAGCACTTTTTATGGCAGGGGAAGGGAGAGTTACACTTTAAATACTGAACTATTTTTAAGTTAGGATCCAATATATTTGGATGTTCATTGTAAATTCACAGCCCCCCATTTTGTAAGCAGAGGACTCTGTAAGTGCCTCCCTATATCTTTCCTGTGGCAAGCAGAAGGCAATGACAGGACTAATCCAATGGAAGGACTTCCTTATGTTGCCTCTGCTATACTATTAATACAATCCTATACCCAAGCACCTTGGAGTTCCAGTATGTTTATTAATATATATAGTATACTTATACTATATGTAGATGCATATATCTCAACAAAAATAGGTAATCAAAAAATTTCTCTACCATTTTCTTTACTAAAAGCAATACTCGTTTGTATTCATTCACCTTCCTTTTTCTCTGCTAAGATTTCCAGTATCTTCTCATTTTAGAGCTTTATGAAGGATAGCATTAGTATTCTTTTATGGTACCTCTGAAGTTGACTGCCTATCTATACACAGTAAGAATCAAATGTAATGTTTGCTGTGCTTGCTGAACATCTACACTGTTCCTTCTGCAATACCAATGCTGAGAATTATGACTCAAGGAAAGGTGAAGATGGAAATTGAAACAGTTGTTCAACATTAAGCAAATTACATTAACAGAAGCTACAAGAACAGATGCTACTTGGTAATCCAAATGAAAGCTTGAACAGGCAGAACAGTTTGGTACATAGACCATTTAGCTTTCCTTCTTATAATGATAACTTGTGTATGTGTTGCGGCTCTCTGGTTAGGTTCTTTCTGAATCATAGCCTCTGAGGTATCATTGTGTTTAAGTTCTCAACCTTTCTGAGCCCACACAGATTGAGAATTTATTGTCAGACTTGTGTTCCCCTGTCCATGCATCTTACGCTTTCTAATGAACTGTTTGCAGCTTTCAGACTTGGTCTATACACTGGCTTTCTCTTGTGGCTTCTGTAGAAAGGTATGCAGAACTTAAACATTGACCCCAATTACTTTGTTCTCCCAATGTTTTCACTGAGTCAAGAAGTCTTCATTTTGTTAGGAAAAAAACCATATGACCCTTATAATTTTTGTCTTTTTTTGTTTGTTTCACGTACTACTTTTCAGTTTTTGCAACTTTGCATGATAATTCATCCTGGCTTTTCTGTCTTCGATTTATTGCATTCTTTAAAATGGTCTGATCTTCAGCTCTCAAGCAGTCTCTGATTATGTTCTCCTTTCTAGGAAGATGTCTCAGGAGCCATATCACACCTGTCCCTCAGGGAGATCCCAGCTCAGCCTTTTGTATCCTCAGAAGAACGGAAGGAACGGTGGGAACAAGGCCAGGCTGATTATATGGGAGCTGATTCCTTTGACAACATCAAGAGGAAACTTGACACTTACCTCCAGTAGAAACACTGCCATTTTCCCCTGGACACATCCACTTCACAGGCACTTATTTCTGATACTTAGTATCTAGAGCTGGGTTGAGAAAAGTCTGTTACAGTTGCTAGAAGCTTTCACTAAAACTCATCAGATGAGGGGTTTTTGCAGGACAACAGGTAAGAGAACTGGGCAAAAGTTATAAAGTAGCAGTTCTGTTATATGGACAGTATTCTGCTTTCTTACCCTAGATTTATTTAGCTGTTTCAAAAATTCTCACCTATGCTGATTGTCAGCATGCATTGTAAGGAACTCATCATTAAGTTGTTAACGATGGCTCTGTCAACTCTTATAATGTGCAGAATCAGGCTCTAAATCAGTCTCTCCCTTCAGAACAGGACATGGCCTCTGTCCCTTGCTTGTTGTACCTTTCATTAGACCTGCATTGTAGAATTGCCTAGTGGCTGCCAGAGTGATTGTAATTCTGCTTTCAGGTAAAGGCAGCCTACAGTAATACTGCTGAATGATTCATAAACATATCAACAAATGGCGTTAACTCATTTTATTTCCTAGTCTTAGTGTCTGAAGATGTTCACCAGTTTTCTATGTACAGTAAGGCAGCATGCTAAAATGCTTTTGTTCAGTTCTGTATATTCAAAAATAGCAATGTGTTCTCTGATGGTTACCTGCAGTGGCACTCTGTAAGAAAAATAAAGACATATTGCTATATCTCGGTTGTTTAATTAAATTAAGGATTCCCTCACACACCCTTAGAGAATTTTTCATAACTTTTAGCATTTGTCATAGTTTTAAAAACCAGTATAATGCTTGTTGTTAGGATACATACTTTAAAAATTGGTATCTAAGAGATTTAAATCTAATGTTCTCCAGGGATGGTGATGGATCTTATAGATTGGAAAAAAATGGGATCAATTTATCTAGTCTGTCACCCACATTGCATCCCCATTTTAAATGGGTATTCAGATAATTAGAATATTGTAACCTAAACATCATCATAGGTGCATTGTCAGTCTCTGAACATACTCAGTAATCTTTTAGGTCGGTCAGAATCAGTACTAGACCTAATGCCTTCTAGTGTTTTTTATCTGTTATTTTAAAATGATAGAATGGAGTTGTAAAGCATTTATTTATTAAATTTACAGATGATTCTAGGTTGCAAGGCAAGGGAAGCTAGAGATGGGTAGGATCTAAAATGACCTTTTAAAACTAAAATGAGTAGTCAGAAATGATTCTATTGAAGAAAACAAGAGAGTAGACTACAACAGAAAGGAACTTTAAAGGTTTAATTGGGCAGAAGCTACATAGCAATTGTGACCTAGCATTTGAGGTCACCCTCCTTCATTTCTGTGATATCTTATTTACATAGGTCATTCCTATTCATACTGGTGTAAATGAACACACAGGGGTATGGATACCTGGAGGCAAGAATGGTTTGGAGTCATCTTGGAGGTTGACTACCACAGGAGCTAAACAAAGTGAAGATTTACCTAAAATTACAAAACATTAAATGATAAATGATTTGAAAAAATCATTATTTGGACTGGTGGAGAATGAGTTGCTATGATCTTCAAGTGCAATGAAGCATGTACCAAAGATTTATTTAAGTGTGTCTATGTGTCAGGTACTATGGTACAAAGACGTCTTGATAATTTTAGCTAGTTGGAAGCCTTCTGGGCTTGAGTCCTTGGTTGAGAGGCACAGAAACCTAGTCTACAGGTAAATAACACTACCTTAATTTTTGTTGCCATGCAATATACACTGTTAATTTTCTGCATTTACTATCTTTTGTTGCCTATTTTTCAGGCAGTAGCATAAAAGGTAAAGCTTACATAATTTTTAAGTTTTAAATAAATACTTAGTGAAGGCTACTAACTTTTAGAATCAGAAATGATGACCAGTTTACCAAAAGCATATAAGGTACATAAAGGTGTCAAGTTCTGTGACTCTATAGTCACTAAAATGAGCTAACAGATTCTTTTCTTTTCCTGATCTTTCAAGGGTATGCCTTAGTTAATTAACTTTTCTATTCAAAGCTGCATTAATTATACTGAAAAATCTTTTCCAGAGAGCCCAAAATAGTAAGGATTACTTAGTAAGATGTATTAAAAAAATAGTAATAAATTATAAGGCATACATTTGTGGAGGTGATCAATATATACTTATTTTTATCCCCTTGTGAACAGTGGTGGGTATAATAATCTTTAGTTATAAGACAAACTTGCCCACATAAAGGTCAGATCTGTTCCTTTGGGGATTAGCTCCATGTTTGATCATGGTCTATAATTTATGCATAAAGTAAATGTTTTAATTCTCCTTACATCTGTATTTTCCTGTTGTATTATGCCTTTTAAAAATATTTTAAAGTTAATACATTAAAAACTTAAGGTTAAACCCTTATTTCTGTTGCCATGAGCCAAACATCAAATCTGTCCTCATGTTTTTAAAGAATCTTATCCAAATGCTAATGAATAGAACTTTGGCAAGTACTATAAAGAAGGAAAAAATATACCAACGTCTCTGACACCCCCCATACTGCTACCTGTGGATAGTTTCATTGGTACTCACTGATTAGCAAACTATTAATATATAGGATTATTTTCTTGACTGAAAATAGTTAATCCTAGAACTGTAATTTTAAGGGCGTAATATACAGTGATCCAGATTGCTATCTGTAGATAGGTGTTATCACAACACTTTTTGTTTTCTGCAGATGAGGAAATTAATTGGAACCAATGTTTTTAGAACAAGAATTTTAAATAAACACTGATTTCTTGAACAAGAAATTCAACCAGTTAAAGTGAACAAAATAAAGGTGGGATATGAATAAATTATTCTCAGTTATAGTTTTATGTACTGTCAATAAAAATTATGTAGTATAAACACCTTCACAGAAATGAGATTTAATGAAAGATTTATTTTCTTTAACAAGAAAGTAGTCATTTAAATTATGGCACTGAGAAGGCTAATAAACTTTTGAAATTTTTATTCATTTTAAAACAAAATCCAGTTTGAACCACAAAATTCAGTTTGAATCACAAGTGGGAATACAATGTCATCAATATATTTCTAAAGCTATTATTCTATGTACTAATAAAACAGCATTACTAGTAGTTAACAGTATAGCATAATGTAAAGTTTTCATTCCAGTGGTTTATACATTTTCTTAAGAAAAATTAAATTTTTTATTTAACAATATCTAATAAAACTGTACAAAACAAAGCTATTTTTTAAATGACTTGGCAAACTTATGAATGTGTTTAAAAACACAACTCTGTAAATGTCTGGATAAAGAAGCAAAGTGTCTTCCTTCGTCTTCTATAGTAAGTTTGTAAGGCTTTGCCTCTGTAAGCAGAAGAGTAGATTGTGGTGTTTTTTGCCAAAAAACTGTTTATAACTTAATCTCACTAGAGTACTGGTATATGAAGAACCCATATTCTGATCAATCTGATTTTTTCTGTGTCTGTAAGCTGGACTACAAGTAAAGAACTTTTCTATTGCTCCTAATGCTAGCAGACCAACCCCAAATTATTCCACTCTTATCCCTACAGAAAGGTCTTGGTCTTAATGAATATCATCCCTCTGCTACTGCTGAGAAAAGGGACTGGAAAGATTCTGACTAATCCACTGTCCCCTTTGAGCAAGGGATTAATCACAGGGAGGGGAGGACTTAGCTGGTAAGAGATTTAGCACATACGTTAGATGTGTGCCCTGTAACAGCAGTTACCTCCAATCTCATCTTTCAGTCAAGATTTATCTAAGGTATTCTTAAATCTGTATCATCAAACATGAAGCTTCTCTTATTACAATAACTAATCTTTCTTTGGATTAAAAAACAAAGTTTTTCTTCATGAAATAAAACCACTGACTACCTAACCTGACTGATGCATTTCTAGCTTATTCATTTTCAATATGACTCAAAAAGTCATCCAGAATTCTGTGGCAACTACTGTGAGTCTTCTTATTAACAAAAAAGAAAAAGATGAAAAAGATAACTTATCCTACAGATAGATGTAAGGATGAGTTACTGAAGTTCCAAAATCAAATTCTGAATCTAAACACACATTAACAAAGAAACTTTTACATTCAAGATTAAGTTGTCTTTAAGAGTGGAAACGACTTTGGATGTCATCCAGCCCAACTTCCATCCAGATTATGACGCCTCTCACATATAGTAGTCTTCTGAATTATAAAAATGTATAAAGTTATTTCCAAAAAAACTACATAAATAAAAATTATTTATAGAATTTATTTAGCAATTCCATAATTTAAATATTCAAATTGGCTAGAATTGGATTCCTCTCACCCACCCCCAGACTATATTTACACCCTAAACACATCAAATTACATTTAAACAATGAATGGTAGTACCACTTGACTAAAAAAATGGAGAAAATAGTGCTTTAACATAATCTCTAATTTTTTTATAAACATAAAATTGCAAGTCACTTATGTGAATTATATCTCAATGTAGCTGTTTGAAAAAAAAACTGAAAGTAACTTGAGAATCTGGACTTTGGTCTCTCATTTAAGGTTTGGTTCTGGAATGTAAATATGGTTTTTGAAAGTCCAATAAAATCGATCTCTTATTTATATGTATATTGTTTACAAGAACTGTGAATCCACTGCATCACAAATCAGAGGCTGTATTGAATAAATGTGTCCAACATAGAAAATAACTATTTGGTTAAAAGTCCTTATCTGAAATATGAAAAAGCTGAGTACTTAGAAGACATATGAAAATACTCAGCATAGATACTATGAAAAGTTAAATAACAAAGTAACTTTTTTTCTCAAAAAATTATTTTAAGCCATAGTATATAATGGAACTTATTGCTATTGGAAGTATCATTAAAAATAGGTTCATATATAAAAGATTATGTGTCAGTAATACCTCTTTGCTAATATAAAACAATATGCCCCTTTCAGAAGACATATTCTTTCTCATTTCTAAAACTCTGTACTTTTATCATATTTAAAACATATGTATTTGATCAAACTGACCTTACTGTCCCACAAATTATAAATCAATTAAAGTTCTGATTTCATTAATTTTAGCTTGTTTCATCTCATTAGCATTTGTTTTTTTAGTTCCAAAGGCTCCTGCTGCAAGTTCTCTCTTTCTGTTTTGTATTTTCATCATATTTTCTTCCACGGAGTCCTTCACAATGAACTTTAAAAAGAAAAAAGTTAAATTGGTTAAGTATATTTTAGGGAACAATATTTAAAATATTTAATGTTAAAAAAACCATACTAAGACGACTAAATGAACTATTATTAAGGAGCAGGAAGGATAAATATGATAACAACAATGCCCATTAAAATAAAGAAAAAATGAAATTGAGACATGAGAATGTTGGTCTACCATAAAGGAATTTGTACTCTTATATATTATTATTAATTATTAATAATAATTAATATTATATAAGATAATAAGATATATAAGATTATTATATAAGATTATTATTATATAAGAATATAAGATTATCTTATATATCTTATTATCTTATATATTATTATAATTATATATTATTATTACTCTTGTATATTATTATACTCATATATTATTATATTACATTGCTTTAAGCATGTACAATAATTAGAAACTGTTTAGATCCTCTCTTTTTCTCAATATATAGTGAGAATATTGAGAACATAATATTATAACTAGAGCTGAGCATTGCTTTCCTTTATCACCCAACATGATTCTCTTATATAAAGAATATAGCTGTAAGGACAAAGTTACAGATCACCAGATAAGAACAGTACAAAAAGTCAAAACATCTAGGCAACTCTGGTAAAATTACTTTTAGCATTATATCAAAAAAACCAAATGATAAATTCCCAGAAATACAAGAATGAGTCTTTATCCAGCGTAATTCATAACAATAACAGGGAAAAAAATGTAATCTCATTATTCCTGATAAAAATCTTGATTAAAAAGTCCTCTTTAGGAATAATGTCTCAATCTTATTGAGGATGTCTACTAAAAACTTACCAAGAACAACAAAGTTAATATACACCAATAAAAGTATTTCTACCAAACATAGGAACAAGTCAAGAATGATTATCAATACTACTATTCAACACTGTATAAGAAATTCTAGTTACTGTACTTTAAAGAAGTTATATTATAAAACTTGGTTGAAATATATAAAAGATACAAATAAATGGAGAGAGATACTATCTTATGTTCCTGTATGGAAACATTCCTTATTTATAAACAAAGACAATTTTTTCAAAGTAATCATAAATTCAATATATCTCAAACAAGGTTTCTTAACTAGAATTTGATAACCTAAATTCAAAGTTTAAGAGTAATAATATCCAATATAATTTTTAAAAAGAAGGGTAATGAGGATTCTTTATCTTCTCAGATATCAAAACAAACTTTAGAAAACCACAGTTATTACATAAGAGTAATATTATTCTGAGAATAGGAAAAGAGATCAAAGAACAGAATAGTCTAGAGAAAGACCCATGTAATATATATGAATTAGGTTATGATAAAAGTGACATTTCTTATTAGTAGGAAAAAAGGACTTTTCAAAAAAATGTAATAAATGCTTCTTCATTTGAAAAAAGAATAAACTTAGACCAATGTCATAAATCGGAACACAAAAAATAAAATCTTCCAAAAGAATCAGAAGTAAATACAGAAGAATAGTTTAAAAAATTTGAAGATAAAGCCTTCTGTCCTAAAACCTTAAAAACTAGAAGCTATAAAAAAGGCTGACATGTTTTAAATCACAAAAATATTAAAACTTTTTCATGACAACAAACTAAAGGGGAAAGACAAGGAAGAGCCTGGGATAAACTATTTCCAATATGCATAAACAAAAAATTTAAAATCAGACTGTATAAGGGGTCCTTTATTTTATAAAACCGTAACTATGAAAACTAGGCAAACAATATATAAGAATTCACAGAAAAAAATATTAATGAGCAGCAGACATGTGAAATATGCTCAAGATCTTAGGTAAATGCAAATTAGAATGGTACTTTTTTGACCACATAGGCATGGATTGACATCATTCTCATACATTATAAAGCCTATTTTGAAAGCAACTTGACAGATATCTAATAAAATTGTAAATCCAGAATTCTAGTTTTCTTAACCTATCCTGAAGAAATATTTGTATGTATGCAAAAAGATGTATGTACAATAATGCTCATTATTGTACTCTTTTTATTAGCAAAACATTGGACTGAGTAAGTAAATTATGATGTATCTCTATAGGTTTCTAGAGTAGTCAAATTCAAAGAAAGAGAATGGTGGTTGCCAGGTGCTGGGGGGAGAGAGTTATTGCTTAATGGGTAGAGTTTTAGTTTGAGGTGATGGAAAAGTTTTGAAGATGGGTGGTGGTGATGGTGGTGAATGTACTTAACGCAAATGAACTGTACACTTAGAAACTGCTAAACCAGTAAATTTGTTATGTATATTCTATCACAATAAAAAAAGTGTTGATCTAAATGTACTTATAAGGTAGTTTCCGATGCATGTTTTTAAAGAAAAAAAATATGTTGCAGAATAATAACAAAATATCCCAATTATCTTTAAAAGATATGCTTTTAAGGAGAGATGCAGACATAAATATGAATGTTTATAACTGAAAGGGCCCTGAAACAGCATGTATTAAACTACTGATTGAGGAGAAAAAGGGTGACTTTTATATTTTGTTCTGCATAATTCTACTTCAATCATTACAATAATGTATTCATGCATTACTTGTATAATTTGGGAAGCCACATCAACCTAATCTTAATATAGATGGTTTAAAAACTCACTTTTGTTATGATAACTTCTTGCTTCTGGCCAAGTCTATGGCATCTGTCAAAGCACTGATCTTCAGCAGCGGGATTCCAGGCCTAACAAGAACATAAGTTGCTTTGTTACTCCTCTGATCTGTGAGTGTTCTGCACTGGAGTCCTTTCATTTCAGTATTATTCATTCATCCTTTTCTGACTAAACATTTTGTGACTGAATTCAGATACTGACATTGTCAATATACCTATGGAAAAATCCACTCACGACACTGATAAACAGACATTCTCCCCCATCATTGCACTTCCACTGCACTTCTAGTACCTAAAACAGGGTCTGATGTGTGTTAGCACCCAACCCAATATAAGTACCTGTTGATTACAAACAATTTCTGCTTTTTCTTCCATTATAAAGTGAATTTATCTGTGCTTAACAGAGGAAAAGGTTTACTTTTTCCTCTAGTCCAAAACCTTATTTGTGTTGATGCAGTTTTCTGTATCTATGTTTGAAATCAGTTTGACTTCAAAACTGAGCTAAAAAAGTAACATTAGCTAATTAACATAGACATTATCATGGGAACTGTCTTAAGCTGAAGAATAAAATGATGAAGCAATGAAAAGGAAAGAATAACCACAAAGATATAGACTTCTTTAGAAAGATAATAAGTGGCTTTTAAATAAAATCATAAATTGTTGGAATAAGGATCATTACGTTTTAAATGAAAGAGATGATTCCTGAAGCTGAAAATGGTATTTTGGGTACAAGGAACATTTACCTAACAAAGTACCAGCTGAAAATAAAACAAACTCATAGAGGCATATGTAGGTTATAGTACAACTTATGCTGTTATTCTTTCTTTTTTAAGTTCCCTTGGGATCTAGTTGATAAGGAAGGTTTTGCTATTAACTTGCTGTAATTTGAGTTTTGGGTTCTTTTTTAGTATGGAGGTTAGATTTAAGGATATGCTTAGCTTATGATTTGCTAAAACTGACAGCTATTATATTTTGTGAATATTCTGTATTTTACAATTAGACATATTTTTGAATCATTATACCAAGAGACCATGTATAATGTTTTTCTGTTGCCTATATTTTTTATCCAGAAACCTAATGACAAGCTGGCAATATATAATACATCTAGTATGACTACCAGATATCTAATTTATCTCATAAGATAAAACTGATAGCTCCTATTCTGACATGTAGTAATTAAGGAAGCAATTAGCTTCATGAGAAGCTCATAATGGACATCACAATATCACCTTAACTCTCATACAGTGCTTCATGAAAAGGTAAAAGATTTTCATGAGCAGAGTTTTTTTTTTTTTTATCAAATCTTATTATTTTTCTGGGACCTGACTTTTAGTTAGAAACAACATGTGGAAACTTGACATGTTCGATGAAAACCAATCAACTTAATATAAAACTGCTAAAACATTCATAAATTTTTTAAAACTATAACTGAAGAGTTTAGTCTCTGATCAACTTTACAATACTAATTATTCTATTTTGATACTAACAACCTCTTCCTTATCCAATACTAAGATTATATGAGAAAGAAAGTTGGGGAATTTGATTTGAAAACCAGCTTCTGGGATTATCACTATAGTTACAATGAATTTTTTTACAATAACCATAAAAATACTAAAATTCTAACAAAAATTTAAAACTTCACCCATAGTACTAAGGCAAAAAAAAAAAAAGAACCCCAACAACTGCCATCCATGACATTTACTCATAAATGCCTAAATATGATTCTTGCAATTGTACTGAGGTTACCCTCAGTTGAGGGATGGGGAAAAAAAGCCTTAGTAAGCAGATACATGTTAAGGCAGCCTTACCAAAATAACTAACATTTATGTCTCAGTAAAATTTCTACATGTTATGAATCTTGAGTTTCAGGCAACAAGCTAAAACCAAAAATCTTAAATCTGTGAATGCACAGAAATAAATAGCACAGGGTTGCCTCTAGCCCACATAGTACCCATGCAAATTAGCAACTGAATTAGTCCTTCCAGCCCAAACAGCTTCTTTCTGCATTTAGAAAAATGTACTCTCATGTGGATATAGCTCTACGTCACACATAGCTTAGTGAATAAAGTTCGGAGTGAATTTTAGTTTCCATTCTACTCCTAGTTGTATGATGTTGGGCAAATTGTTTACTTTCTTATGCTTCAGTTGTCTAAAACGAGTAATAATGGTATCTACCTCATAGGGATATTGTGAGGATTTCAGTTGACATATGTAAAGCACTTAAGAGAAAGCTCTCAATCCACATTTACTGTTATTATTATCTATTTCTAAATATGCCTAAGAATTTTCACAATTAATTTTAACTATGAAGTATTTACCAAACAGTTTTTGTGTTTTATTTTTTTGAAGGAGGTAATAACATTTTGCAAAGTCTACAAAACTACTTACTGGATCCATTAAAAACACTCGAGAAGCTGCAGAAAGATTCAAACCAACTCCACCTGCTTTTAAGGACAGAAGCATTATAGTTGGAGATCCTACTTCAGTGTTTTGGAAACACTGAATTGATTCAACTCTTTCCTTTTGGGCCATGGAACCATCTAAACGAGTAAACACAAATCCAGAGGCTCTAAAGGGGGAGAAGAAAAGAGACAATACAATATTATAAAGAGAATTTAATTACAAATATCTTTAATCAATTCTTTCATTCATTTATCAAATGTTTATGGAGCACCTATTAATATAGCCAGGCACTGCAGTCAATTTTTTCCTAATAAATTCAGTACTTCATCTTTAAAATCCTATGCTGCCAGGAAATATTCTCTATTGTGACTATGAATATTTTAGATAAATAAAAAGACTAAAACTGGTAAAACAAACAGTGACTTTTCTTGCTATCCAAATCCATACACATATAAAATCTATATACTAAAAGTGAAAAATACTGTTGAACTTACTTAAGTGGTGTTTCTATTAAAGACAGGAATGTTGTAAATTGAGAAACAACTAAACTTTTTGTGTTGGGATTCTTTTTTCTTAAGTCAATCAATGCATGCATTAGAGCATTAATCTGAAAAAAAAAGATACCATTAGATTCCATTTTCAATTGGTTTATTTAAAATAAGTCCAAAATTTTTTGTTAAAAAGAGAATGGTCCTGTTATATTATTTCTCTAAAATGCTAAAGCAAAAGACTACTAATTAAAAACAAATTAGGACTGAAAGAATACTATAATAATCTGAACCCATTCTTTTCATTCCCAAATTCATCACTAAAAATAAATTTAAAAGTCAGTAGTCACCAACAGAATGTAATATTCAAATGACACGAATGAAAGCAGAATTATTTTGATAAAGGGTATAGATAAGTGTATAAAAAATATTCAAATATTTGTACATGTATATTTCACCTTTGAACTGGATGTCCATTCCATATTAGACTTTTTCTCACCATCATATGCCAATTCTTCTGGAGTACATTCTAATAAATTGTCTCTATGTATTTCATTTCTGCATAAAGGGCATTTAGCATGTGGCTATATTAGAAAGAACAAAGTGTGAGCAACATTTATCAGAGAAATAGAAATATAAATGTGCCTAAAACTTAAAAAAATGTATGGTAAATTCTATATCTCTCATAAATAACATTTTTATTAAACCTTTTATTAGATACATCCATTTGAGATAAATCCGTAAATGTTGAACATGAGACAGAACAGTGTTCTAATGTGATAAGTGAGATGTGTGGGGAGCAAAAGATCTTATCTGGCTAGCACCAAGAGTTTGAAACACTAAAAATTATATCTTTGTAGGCAAGAAAAAAGCCATGAATAACAATTTCTTGAACCTAAATACAATGCAACACATTATTTTAGAACTATTCTTCAAAAAAAATTCCTTCTTAATGGCTTATAAAGCTATTAGCTTATAAAGCTATCCAGATTTGTTAATCCTATTGGGTTTACTCAAAGCAACATCTGTTATATCCATGTATACCAAACCTGCTAATAAAATAGATTATATCTTAAATAATTAGATACTAAACATTCAATTAAAAAGATTCTGAAACAAAAACTATGTCATAAGTTGGTACAGGGGGGTACCCTTTGAGAAGAGGGAGGGAATAAAGGATTGGGAAGGAGACACAAGGAGACCTGGAAAATAATTATATGCATGGGGGTTCATGATAATTCACTAAGCTATAAAATGACGTGTGCATTTTTCTACATGTATGTTATATATTAACTAAAACTGGGGAAAAATATTCTGCCCCAGTTTGAAGGACTACTTAAAGAATTAGTCCACTTCAAAAAAATTCAACCACACAAAAGAACCAAGACCTACCTTACCCTATAGTCAATAGACACATATGGCAATTAAGTCCTTGAAATGTGGCTAAACCAAACTGAGGTATGCTATAAGTATACAACACCAATGAATTTTGAAGACTTACTTTAAAAAAATGACAGCATCATATTAATACTTTTCATATTTTAGATGCATTGGATTAAAAAATGTATTACTAAAATTAATTTCATGTTTCTTTTTACTTTTTAAAAATATGGTTACTAGAAAATTTTAAATTACCTTATGTCGCACATTATCAATCTATTTATTGGATAGCAATGATATAACAAAGTGGAATTAAGATACTGACTGAAACAGTGACTCAAAAAAAATTTTATGTTTAAAGTGCTTAATTAAGAGAAATCTATCACCTATTAAAATACTAGAATAATTAACCATAAAAGCTACATTAAATCCAAGTACAAAACCCAGTATACTCTTAGACTTAGGTTTTAATTACACTAAAGACAGGTATACCACTTCATCAAACACTAAATCTATGCTGAGCAAAAAACTAACCTGCTCATTCTGAATGACTTGGCAAATACAGGGTTTACAAAATACATGTGCACAATGTGTTATCACAGGAACTGTTAAAGAATCAAAGCAAATTGCACATTCTTCATCTGAACCTGAGCTCAGAATTAACTTCATCTTCCTTATTAACTTCTTTCTCAGTTCTTCAGGTGTATCATTTCCTAAAGAAAAGGCTGAAAAATTAATTTCAGAGCAAGATTTGTAATATGACAAGTTAATCTGCATTATATAAGTAAAAGTTTTGCTTGCTAGTAGGGGTAATCTTTCATCTTTTTCTGTCATAGGCAAAAAGCATGGTTAAAATTTGAAATTTTAAGAAAAATTCAGAAGCCAAGATAGTAGCCAACTCACATAATATACTTCATACAGAAGCATTATTATAATCTGTACATACTAGCACAGAATAAAAGGCAGATACCCTTCCATCAAAGGGTATCCATCACTGAAAGTCCTGGAAATACTTCATTATAATTCCATATCATTGGTAAAAAAATTATTGGATAAATTCCCAGCTGAGTACAATACTAAACACAATGTCCATTTGACAAAATAAAATAACAAAGTAAACTAATAAGGCCATATAAAAATTTCTCATTCTGATTTAAATATCTCGTAACACATATAATAATAGTATGAGCCAATCTTATTTGCTTACCTAAGGGACCACTAGAAGGCACTGCATTTGTAAGGAGACGAGTATGACAACAAATCTGCCGCAATCTAAGCAAAAGACCCAGCACATCTGCATAGTGTGCAAGGACAGTCCCTTCATTAAAATACCTAGAAACAAAAATGTCAAATATTGTCAAGTCATCTAAACAATAACAATTTCCTATTCTAAAATAGCAGAGTAAAATGGCATTGTTCTGTTCTTTCTGGAAATCTCTCCAAAATAAGAATGATAAACACAAAAGCAAACTCTATCTTTAATGAAACCAAGAGAGATTTGTAAAGCACAATAAAGCACAATATATAAGAAATAGCTGCCAACTGCAGTAAAAGTCAAATAGGAAGATGTTGAGACAGGACTGCAGATTTGCAAATAGATCTGCCAGAGCACAATTCTTCAAAGTAGATGGTATGCCCTAATGGGAAAATCAGTATCTCTATGTCCCTCATGAGCAAAAACCGAAACAAGTTGCATGTCTGGTGACTTGAACTTCCCAAGTTTACACCAAAAAGGAACAAAGGTAAACTGAATAAGGAAACACACAGATGCACTCTATTTTCAGAAAAAAAGACCATGGGCACAGCACTACACATGGTAAACACCCTTACACCTTTTGATCTCTGTTCTATGAGTACTAATAAAATCTAAAAGAACTCTTATGTAACCCTGAATCATAAGTATATTGGGATATTTCCTGCTAGTCTGTGATAGGGTATGATCCTTCTCTTCATGTTTACCTAGACTAGCAAATATTGAAAGAACTCAAGTTATTCAAATTCATGTAAGTAATAATTAGCATAGAGCAAGGTAAGGAAAAAAAATGGCAGTGAAAGAAAACTTAGAAAAATATTGCCACAGAGCAAATAAAAATTATGACCAAGGATACTACCATATTTAATACCACTTAATAAAACAATTCCTCCTAAAAAAAAAAATAATAGCTTAAAGCAAAGACAAAGAGCTTTGAAAAGATATGGCAAGACAAAGAGATGAAGGATGAGCTGGTATAGCTCAAGAGTGTAAAAGAGAAAAGTGAAACATCAGAGAAATGAAAGCCACACTACAACCAGCATAAAAAAGACTAGCCACTACTAAAAGCATAGGAAAGGATGCGGGGAAACGAGACTGAGAAAATAAAAATTAAACAGAAGAATGTAAAGAATTACAAATAAAATGATACCTATGGAAAACAGATGAAAGATATCTAACATACACAGAAAGAAATAAAAATAATGGAACAGAAAACAGTATTTAAAGAAAGCTTTCCAGGAAATTGAAGGGAAAAAAAAAAATCCTAGAATCCGAAGATTTAAATAGTACTACCATGTGTTCCAAGAAAAGTCAATAGAGGTCCCGGTCAAATTTCTGGACTACCGAAGGAAAAAACAAAAAATCAGGCTTTTCCAAAGAAATATTCAATACAAAATACAGGGTGCAATGGCAGTACGGATTGTGTAGGAAAGAATGGGTGATCCAATAATTATATAACCAGGCAATCTGATATTTAAGCATTGTAAGGCAATAGAAAAAATATAGCCGAATGGTTAAAAGCACAGATTTTTACAGCAAGACTCTCACCAATTCAAAACCTGGCTCTGCCAATTTAACTACATAACATTGGACATGCTTAACCTATGTCTTGCACTTCCTCAGTTGTGACAGAAGCATAGTAAAAGTACCTACCTCATAGGACTGTTGTATTAAAATTAATACCTGCAAAACATTTAGAATAGTGCCTGAACTATGGCAAGAGCTATATATGAATCTGCTGCTAGTATTAGTAATAGTATCATGGCGAGAAACATTTCTGAATATTTATGAATGCAAGTAGTATACTAAGCAATATAGTATAAAGGTTAAGCTTACAAGCTTTAGAACCCAACTGCCAGAGTTTAAATTCCAGCTCTGTCTGTCATTCACTAAGTGTGTGACACATACAAGTCACCTAACTGTTCTGTGCCTCATAAGATGTGGATAATCATTATATAGACTTAATTTTGAACCAGGAGAGTGACATAATCTAATTTACATTTTAAAAGGATCACTCTGGCTATTATGTTCAGATATAGATTGTTGGAATAAAGCCAAAGTAAGAGATGATGGTGGTTTTTACCATAGTAGTAGTGATGAAGGAGGTGAAAAATGGTTGAATTCAATGCATAACACCTAGCAAGTGCTTAATAAATGTTAGTAAATGTATAATCTATTAAAAAGAATACTTTCAAAAAACATGTTTCATTTCTGAGAACACAGTTTCAATTAAGTTATTTTTTTTCAAACTTTTCAAATCGAATAACCTTTACTAACACTAATTATTCCCTGACATGGTCACATCTTACTGATACTCAGCATTTCAGTTTAAGAGATTTCTTTTGAGTGCCTATCATGTGCTAAATAATGGAGTAGAGGCTTTCTCCTACTTCACCAGCCACTCTTGTCTTCTTTGTTAGACCTTTTCTTTCACTTTACTCACTCCTTTGGTGACGTCTTTCAGTCTTATGGCTTTACTTACCATCTACATATATGTGATTTTCAAACTTATATGTCAAACCAAGAATAGTACCATGAACTCTACTCTCCTATCCAACTGACTATTTAACATCTCCATTTGGAAATTTCATAGGCATCTCATGATCATCAATGTGTGCAAATATGAGCTTCTAATCTTAACTGAAAAAACTCTGCTCCTCCCATAGACCTTATCTCTGTAAATGGCAATTTCATACTCCCAGTTACTCAGGTGAAAAACCTTGATGTTTTCTTTGTCTCCTCTCTCTCACATCCCATACTGTATCAACTAGCAAGTTCTGTTGGCTCTACCTTCAAAATGTAACAGAATTCAACCATTTTTCACCTCCTTCATCACTACTACTATGGTAAAAACCACCATCATCTCTTACTTTGGCTTTATTCCAACAATCTATATCTGAACATAATAGCCAGAGTGATCCTTTTAAAATGTAAATTAGATTATGTCACTCTCCTGGTTCAAAATCCTTGAGCTTTTACTAGCTCATAAAAAGTAAAAGCCCAAATCCTCGAAATATGCCATATTGCCTCACACAATCGTCATCCACCCCACTTCAATACCTCTCTGATACCATGACTATTTCCCTTCTTGCTCATATTATCCAGCCACACTTGCTTCTTTGTTCTTCTTCAAACTCACCAGGCATGCTCCCAACTGGAGGCTTTTACTTGCTATTTCCTCTGCCTGAAACATCCCTCAATCCCAATCTCCTTTAAATCTTGCTCACCTATCACCTTCCCAGTGAGGTCTTCCCTCAATATCCTATTAAAGCAGCTTCAGTACACCCCATATCACCTTTGTTTTTTTCCATAAATCTTAATCTATGTTTTTTAATTATCTATTTCTTCCCATTAAAATATAAACTTCTTGAGGGCAAGGATTTTTGTCTGAAGTTCTTATGTTTTTAAGAGTCTCACAAACCTATTCTGCCTTTGCTTGTCTTCTATTTATTCTGGTTGCTATGGGCATTCACATCAAATCTGCTCTTGCTTCGACTAGAATGTCTCACCTTCTACCAATCTCTAATCTTTAAAAATTTACTTTATCAGCTCCTATTCCCAGATTTCTACACAGTGTTGGAAACAGGAACAAGCAAGGTCTTCTAACTAACAATTAAGAACTTGCTATTATATGTAAACTTAATTTTTTTCTAACTTAAGGAATTACTTACCTGGTGAATTATACTAATAATTCATTCACTTCAACTATTAATTTGTAAAAATATGGTAAATCACAGAAGCAAATTATCTTTCAATATACTTTGGACTTTATTGCTAACACATCTAAAAATGTTATTCAGTTAATAGGAAACAAAGAAAAAAAGAAAAAAAATTATTTTCTAACATGGCTTTCTTTCTCCATACCTTCCAATAGTAGCTCTGCCTTCATTTTTCACAGACTGATAAATCTTTCTCTCTTCATCTGAAAGCGTAATGTGCTGAATAAATACTTTACGTTCTGGTAACTCCAAAACAGGTTTTCCTTTAATTTTGCTTGTCTTTGTTCTTCTAAGTGTAATATTTTTAATTAGGCACTGTAAACGCCTAGTCAGGATAAAACAAAGAGTTATATAACTTATTTCTATTATAAGTTGGTCCAATAAGAACAAAAAAAATAGTGTTTTAATTTGTAGTGTTTTAGAGTCTTAGTAAAGGTTTTTTTTAAAAAAATCTCTTATTTGGGATTTTATCCAATCTGATAGTTATAGCAGCATTTCACAAATAGAAAATGATTACCACATATGCACTGAATTTTCCCCTTGATTCAATACCTGTCAAAATTTAACCTTCTTTGTCCTTATTTTCTTAAGCTCTTCTCCCCATTTTTGCTCTAATCATTAACCCTTTTTCTTCTCAAATGCTCTGTCAACTACATCACCTAATAGTCAATATTCAAATTCTTACTGAGCACATATTAAGTGCAAGGCACTATATTAAATGTTGTAAGATACAGATATGAGTAAGAACCTCCTTCTATAAAATGAAAATCAAAGATACATAATTTTTGTAATGAGTGCTCCCCAAATAAAAACATGCTATAAGAATTCACAAGAGAGAGAAATGCCTTCTAGTTCCATAATCTTTACATTTCCTTCTCAATTTCAGAGAAAAGGAGGCATATCAATATTTTAAGAAAAGGTTTTTCCTAACATCGAAATATAAATTCAATTTCTTAACTTGGAGTTTAAACAGTTGGGGTCTGAGCAATCAAGTGGACACCATTGTCAACTTGGTTAGTGATTTTTGAGCCTTTTTCACTATAAGCCATACTAAGAAACCCACTTTTACTTTATCTAGCAAACTTACACAAACAGAAACAAATATTTCACAAAACAATACTTCCTATGTATGATGCATTCTGTTATTTTATCTTTTATTTCATTTTCTTTTTTAACGCTGGCTATCACCCTTATAATGATTTCACAACACACCAATGGATCCCAAATCCTCAATGTAAAAACCACTGCTCTAGATAAAAAACTCAAACCATGTTAGCCTAGCACCTCACAAAATGGCTATCACCAAGCTGAGTTTTAATTTATGTTCTCCACTTTTATTTCCACCAGAAACAATCATAGAAAACTTTCTCTCTTGTAAAACTTTTGTTCAAGCCACTGTACATCGTTCAGTCACCCCAATAAACCTACACAAGATAAATTATGAAAATTTAATGCAGACTGCAATGATTCTCACAAAGAATATAAAATTTTTCCTATCACTTTTGAATCTGTTAATAGTGGCTTTTGGGGTAATACCAACACACAAAGGCCATAAAATTCTGCCTTTTCTTTCAAGTTGGGGTAAAATCAGGGGAAAGATAGTTTACTGGTAATTAGAAATCTTTGCCTCTTTAAGAATTACTAGGTTCTGAGAGACAAAGGTATTAAGCCGTAAACACTTTTTGGAGAGGAAAGTCAAGAGTCAAGTTAAAATAGTAATGAAAGTGGCCATTGGTTCAAGCTGCTAACAGTTATTTGCAGTTAATATTAAACAGCTGTCTGATATCACTTACCTAAGTCCTCCTTCATCTCCCATTGTGACAGGACGCTGTATTGTCCTATGCCACCATTCTCTATCAAGAAATGGTTTAAGTTTTAAAAAGGAAAGAAGAGACCACAAATCCTTTAAAGAATTCTGAATTGGAGTACCTAAAAATAACAAGAAAATGTTATACTCTTTAACTTGAGTATCCAATAAGAACATTCATATGGCCCAGAGAAGGTAACAGTTGAAAATGGACACTCTGTACCAAGCACACCAGGATCAAGCTGTGACTCAAATCCTTTGTTAAACACATACATACCTCAGAATACAGCTCTGCTATAATTTTTAGCTCTCATGTGCCATACAAAAAAGGAAAAAGACCACAGACTCAGTAAATCAAACTTTCTCCTTATCAAATACATTTGCTTATTTGGTTTGTATTTTTTTTTAATTTTTATCTTTTTTTAAAAGAGATAGGGTCTTGCTATGGTGCCCAGGCTAGAGTGTACTGGCTATTCACAGGCATGATCACAGTGCACTGCAGCCTAGAATTCTCAAGTTATCCTCCCACCTCAGCCTCTCAAATAGCTTGGACTACAGATGCATACTTGACTATTATTTGGTTTTTAAAGCAGGAGCACTAGCAAGAAAGAAAAAAACAACTAATTTAAGTTTATATAGTTTTCCCCACCTTCCAGTAAAAGTGTCGTGAATGAAAAACAGGCGCCAAGATAGGCAATAGAGAAATCAAGATTCTAAATGGAGGATCAGAGTGTCTACTCAATCTCTAAGGCTGAAGAATAAGTCTAGTGATTGTTTCATAAATTAACTATAATTCAAATGTTGTTTTATCATGGGCAATTATGAATAATAAGTCAAAACATTTTATTAAATGATTTCTATGATTAATTTAGGGATATACTTTATAACCACTTGAAGTTTACAAAGTTACCTCACTAACTTGTTTAAGGATACATTTTTGAGAATTAATTTTTTAAAAAGCTTAATACTATGATTACCTGTTAATACCCATCTTCTTTCTGCTTCTAAATCAAGTACAGCTTTTGTCTGCTGAGCATTTGGATTTCGTATGGCATGTCCTTCATCCAGGATCACTCTTAGCCACCTTATGCTATGTAATGGACTATTACCTTTAGTCTGAAATAAACATTTCATATGAATTAAAAAATACAGGTAAGTAAAACAGTACTTAACACAATTTGCTATAAACTATCATATTTTTTGATATCAACACTTACTATGCGCTAGGCACTGCTTTAAGCACTACATAAATTATAGAATACTCAAAAACTTATAAAATCAGTATAAGTTGTTACCCTTTTACATATGAGAAAATTGAAGCACCAGGTGCTAAGCATGTTGCCCAAAGTACCACAGCTAGGAAGTGGTAGAGCTAACATTCAAACCCAAGCAATCTAGCTCTCCACTGAGTCACTGTTCAATATACTGAACTATATTGTGCTTCAGATTAAAATACAGTGATATAAAAATTGTCAGTTGTAAGATTTGAATACAACAGCATTACCTTTTTTTTGATCATTTAGTACCTATTTAATGGTGAATACATGTGGTATTTGTTTTTCCCCTTCTTGTGATACTTCACTTCAAATGGTTATAGCAGCACAATTCACAATTACCTTCTTTTATATAAAAGGTAATGTTCTTACCAGAAGACTCAAATTTTGACAAAAAGGTACTTTTCAATAAGTTTTAACTGACCTGGACAGGTAAACAACAATTAGACTCCTAAAAGAATTACAAAACTTATGAATTGTGGCTACAAAAAAAGGCCTACTTTCAAACTGAGAAATTAATTCATCAAATCTTATGATAGAAAATAATTTTCCAGAATATTAAAAGAGAAAGTAAAATTCATTTACAATTTGCTTTATATAATTAGTCACAATCTAAATTTAAAATCTTAATTTAAAATGTTCTAAATGAAAATATTCCTAAATTAGTATCTAAAGAAGTTGCAACCCTTTTTTGCAAAATGTTAAAAAATTTCCTACTTATATTCTATGTATTATTGAGTATTTAGAAAGAAAAATGGCAGAGTAGCCTGAATTTTTTAACACTTTAGACACCTGGAGCATAATTCTTAAATTCAACTTTAAAAATCTCCAAGTTATCAGTATACTTACTCCATAGTCATGAGTTAAAATATTGTATGTAGTCAAAACAATATCCTGTTTTGAGAGTAAGGCTGGGTCTCTAATACGATCAGGACCATAATAAACATAAAAATTCAAGTGAACATCTGATTTTATATGTTGTCCAAACTGGTCCTAAAATAAAATTAGAAATATTTTTTAACAACAAGCAGATTAGTGTCAGGCTTAATATGTACATAAAAAGTACTACTGTGCTGGCAGTGGTGTCACAAATCAAACTACTAAAATTACATGAAACCAAGTTTCCTGAGATCTAAACTAATGACAATGATAATATTATTATATTCTCAGGAAAAATGACACATACATAGTAATAATATATTATATAAATTTTGCTTGACTTTACCAATGAGTAGCTCATTTTTAGGAGGAAAAACACAAATTCTTTAAACTGTAGTTTTTAAAAAAATATAATATTTTAATTAAGAGACTCTTTAATGCTCCTAATTTGTTAGTAGACTTAATAATATCAATATTAAGCAGTAAAAGAATAGTTACTAATATTTTCAAGGATGTAGGCAGAGAGTCAAGCTGTACCCACTTTCTTTCATTCATTTATTGTAGGCCTATTTGCCAGACACGAACCACAAGAGTGATAACAGCTAAAAAGGAAAAACAAAAAATTATCCCTGACCTTCTTGAGGATGTGATCAGTTTTAAAACCTTGAAATTCTTTTTTAGTCATGAAAACAACAGATCTGGAGAGATTTTGAGCAGAGAAAAATACTACGTTTAGATTGGAGAGAGAAGACACCAAGGAGACATAGTCGTGAAGTTCTTAGGGGAGAGATGATGAAGTCCTTAACCAAAATGACACACAAGTAGGAACAGAATGGAAAGGACTGGTGTGAAAGAAAAATACTAAAAAAGTGGGACTTATGGGACTTGGGGACTAATTAAAAATGGGATACAAAGAAAAGGGAGAAGACAAAGATGCCCAGAGACTTCAAATGACTGCCTAGAAGAATTGTGTGATAAAGATATAGGGAAGTTTTAAAAACAAGGGGAAAGCAGGCATAAAGGTGAGAAAGAGACAATGAGTATTTTAGATATGTATCATTTTTGGTCACTACAGAATACCTGATTGGAAAAATACAATAGGAGAATGTAAACAATTACCCATAGGTGTAGGCGAGAAGTGTAGGAAGTTAATAGCAGACAGCACGTAAACCCATAGGAATGAATGAGATTTCCTAAGAACACATACAATGAGCAAAGAAGGTCAGGGACAGAGGTTACAGAATACCAATATTTAAAGAGCAGGCTTTTACTTTTATTGGGAGAAATGACATGATGTCTGGGATATAATTAAAAATATTTCAGCAAAGGAAAAAGAAAGCATATGTGGCAGATTTTTGGTGATTCTTGAATCTTGATGAGTAAATGGAGATGGCATTAAAGTTTTTCAAAATAGATTAAGAAATAAAATTCCATTCTCAACAGAAAAGGAGATAGGTGTTATTTTATGAAAAGGCAAATAACATCTAGATATCCACCCCAGTATGTGGTGTAGTAGTACTCAGGCCTTACTCCTTAAACTGGATTCTTTTCCTTATTTATAGACAAAAAAGGGAAGATGAGTTAGTTCTCACTGCTCTTTAGAATGCTAGGTCACTTACTTGGGAGCTAAGAAGAGAGTAATTTATTGATAGATTGTGAAATTCTAATTTTCGATCATGAACCCCTATATGCCCAACAATCCCTCGTTCCTTTCAATTCACAGTTTTTGCATAATTTCAGTAGGCAAGATTTTGCCAAGGTTTCCTTTCTGAAGTTTACATTACCTAAACAACTTTTATTTTGTTTTCAAAATGTAAAATTATATGAAATACTGATTACCCATTTTAAAAATACACCCGCCCATACCCAGAGCCCTTAAAGAATCACAACTCTATTGCTTACATCTCCATGAATACTTCTAAACCTGACCCTGAAACTGACATTCAAGTATCCATGTATTGCCCTTCCCACAACAAACCACACATAAAAAGAGCACAGTTTTGTTGGAAATAGAAAAAAGAGCAAGAGACCACTAAAACTCATTCTGGTCTTAAAAGGAAAAATTATACACTAATCAGAAGGTGTAATTTCTTTTTATAAAATAAACCAAAAATTTATATTAAAAAAATAAGTCACATCATAGAAGGCAAGGCTAGAAAAAGCCAAGAAGAAATACATAAAGTCAATACATAAGAAATATACAAAGTCAAAAAAAAAAAGGTATATAAAAATCAAGAAGAGGCCTGAATTTGACAGACTATCATGAGTAAACTTTTCCAAAGCAATTCAGAGAATTGGTGGGAAAAGCCAGATTACAATGAATTAAGGAGTTAGTAAATAAAAGGACAAAATAGAAATTAACCCCTGAGAGGTAAAACAGTGAAGGAAAGCAGAATAGCAGTACTTAAAGGTGCATAGCAAGAGCAAGTATTTTATTTTTTCTGCTTTTTGTTTTTTTTCTTCTTAATTTAAATAACATTTTCTTTTTTTTTTTTTCCTTTCCCTAACATAGTAGTCATTTGAAGGAGCAAGTATTTTAAAATGAAAAAAAATCTGAATATGTACCATGAAAGAGCCAAAGGGAAGAGACTGAACAACCAGGTCAGGAGGAAAAAGAACAGATAAAAAGCAAAGGCAGGAAAAGATGGAATCCAATGTACAGACTAAGGTACCGGTTTTACAAAGAGAAGGACCTCTTCCTCCTCTGAGATAAAAGAAGGAACGGCCAGGAGAGATACAGATAACCTCAGAGGTGGCAAGAATGAAAGTTCACATCCAGTGGTCCTTATGTTCACAGTGCTTCCAAAAGAGTCATTATTTCCTAACATGAAGCTTAAAGCTTGAATTAGAAAGGAAACAGAACTAGGCTGCTCCTTACGTATAACACAGAAAGAGGTTCCATTCCAATGTTAATGTTTTACAACAGAAAAGTAATCTGGGGAGAAAAAAAGACAAAATTTTCTGGTGGGTAGCCTTTAAAGCACAGGCCCTACAGTCGAAATGTTGGAGACCATACCCAAGCTCTATCATTTATTAGTTGGATGAATTAAGCAAGTTATTAATACTTAACCTGTGTTTCAACTTGGTTGCCTGGAAAAACAGAATAATAGTTGTGAGGATTAAATGAGAAAAATCTATGAAAAGAGTTTAAGGACAAACCAAGTACATAAGAGTTCACTAAATTTTATATACTGTTATAAAAATAAGCTATTGTTAGTGGAAGTTTTAGAAAAGGGAGTTCTACCAGTTTGTAAATAAGGTAGAGTCTTAAACTATATACCTTTCCCACTTTGGGGGAAAAAATGGCAAAGGCAGAAATATAAACCAAATCTCACATAGCAATTGATGTTTCTATACTCTATCATAAATCTTCAAAGAAAAATTACTTCAATTCAGCAATTATAACCTAACTCACCTAATAATTATTTGAACTTAAGTATAAAATGATGACCAAGCATATTTCTCCCAATGAGTGACTCTTTAACAGAATACTTTATATAAGAAAAATATGAATTATATTGCATTTTTAAAGGGCTGTAAAGACTTACAATCCAGTTGCTTAATACAGAGAGTGGACAGATGATCAGTGTTGTTCTTGGTCTCCGTTCAGCATCAGTCTTCTTTGAACCTTCTGCTGCAGATGCTCCTAAAAGAAATCAATCAGTGACACAGCCTTTAGCTGCTTTTCTCTAAAATATACATGTCAATAAAAGGATGACAATAATGTGCCTCCATGAAGAGAGAAATTAGGAAGAATTAAAATGAAGTAGATAGAGTTCGTGACCAACCTGAGCAAGAGCAAGACCCCATCTCTACTAAAAATGGAAAGAAATTAATTGGCCAACTAAAAATATATACAAAAAATTAGCCAGGCATGGTGGTACATGCTTGTAGTCTTAGCTACTCGGGAGGCTGAGGCAGAAGGATTGCTTGAGACCAGGAATTTGACGTTGCTGTGAGCTAGGCTGATGCCACGGCCCTCTAGCCCAGGCAAAATAGTGAGACTGTCTCAAAAAAAAAAAAAAAAAGAAGTAGATAGAGTTGTTTCTAACCACAATAAAATAACAGGGGTTCAATTTTACCTTGTTACTGTAAGTAAAAATCCAGATAGGAATTACCTATGGGAAGAGCCAGAGGATTGTGAGAGGGAAGGGACATCAGGAAGAAGTCTATACTATCTCTTGACATTCACAGTCACTCACTGAGATGAATAATTTGTTTTATGCAATTTTCTTACTTAGTATTATACTCAATGTGGTAGCCAGGCTCCAAGATGGCCCCCAATGAACTCTACTCCCTAGTATTCACAACCTATGTAATCCCCTCCCATACTCTACCAGTATTGTGTCTGCATGACCAATAGGATATGGCAGAAATGATGGTATGCCATCTCTGAGATTAGGTGATAAAAGATGAAGCTTCCCTATTGGATGTGTGTTCATGTACTCTCTCCCTCTTTTTCTCTCTCTCTCTCTGATCACTCACTCTGGGGGGAGCCAGCTGCCATGTTGTGAGGGCACTCAGACAGCCTATGGAAGGATACACATGGTGAGAACCTGAGGACTACAGGTAACAGCCAACAAGGAGCAAGGTCTGTTTACAACTATGTGAGTGAACTTGGAAATGGATCCTCCCTAAGTTGAATGTTCAGATGCAGCTTTGAAGGACAATTTGACTACAAACTCATGAGAGACCACCAGCCATAACTATCTAGCTAAGCTACTCCCAGACTCCTAACCCTAACAAGATGTGTGAGATGATAAATGTCCATAAAACAATTATGTCTAGATATTACTACCACTTTTCATTTCTGCCTGAGACACAAAAAATGTGTCAGAACAACTCCTTGCTTTGAAATAGTTGTTTGGTGGGGTTGACAGAACTTGATTCTAGATTGCAAGCAGAATGTTCTGTGCCCCACCTTCTGAAAAGGGTCCAGTATTGCTAGAGTAATAGAAGGGGGGGGGAATCTCACTAGCTAGCAGAGGTCTGAAACTAATGTGAATAACATTTAAATGCTATTTAACATTGCCTTAAAAGACCTAAGAAGAATTACATTAGAATATCTAGCTGGAGTGCTAAAATTTCAGTTCAATTATAAATAAAGGCTAGCCCAGAGATGCATGTTTCCCTGATTTTAACAAAAATATAAACCAGCCACTAAAATATTACTAATACCATATTCTACTCAAAAGTCTCTCTAAAATTACTAAAATATATATATATATATATATATTACAATACTTATATCCCCAGTATGTGGTTACCTGATAGCTCTCAGTGCAAGTTTTAGAAAATTATAAAGATATAGTACACACCTATTATTCAACAATTTATTGAGCTCACACTGTATACCAAACACTGTCATAGGTGCTGGGATACAGCAGTGAATAAAACAAAAAGTCCCTACATTTACGTAGCCTACATTCTAATGGGGGAGGCAGGCCACACATATATACATACAAAGGCAATGTTAGGTAGTGAAGTGTGATGAGTATAGAAATCACAGAATGGGGAAGTACGTTTGGGAAGAAGGGGCACTGAGAGAGTTGCTCTCTGAAGTGATGATTGATCAGCAACGTAAATGAAGTATAAGAGCAAGCCAAGCAAATACTTAGGGAAAGTGCATTGAACAGAGTAGTCTTTCAACAAATAGTTGCTAAAAGCTTAGAAATTCTTATTTTAAACTGTTCTCACCACCTAAGCATAATGGTTTCTTTCTAAAGATGTTCACACAGTACCACCTTTCAGTTTGTTCAATAGAGTGGCACACAAATTTATAATAAAATGTTTAATTGTTGTTTAACATGGAGGCTAATTTTAGCAATGGAGAAGAATCTTATGCTTATGTGTTTTTTTTTTCTCTCAATCTGACAGTTTATTCATTCCATAGACAACTAATTTCCTCAGATTTCGCCAAACCATGTTAAATGGGCATAGTCAAAAACTCCAGCAGAGTGTAGACCTTAGGGCTGTAACCTGAAGAGGATTCTGTTCCTTAGCAAATATTACTTAACTAGCTAATTCCATAAGTTCAGAATTCTTTTTTATTTTGGTTGCATAAGAAATTCTATAAAATAAAAACATTTCTATCTTTTGGGGAATTCAACAAAGACGTAAATGTAACTAGAAGCCATGTGTACTCCCCTCATAATAGCTGATGGTTTTTTTGTATAGCCTGAAATGTTTACAGCTAATGCTACTTCCCTCATCAACCCAGAGCAGAAGTGATAAAGGGGAGAGTGTTAACTAAAATTATAAGAAAAAATATTAGTGAAACAATCAGCTACAACTTTTCTAGAGACATATCTGTTATTTATAATATTGCACAAACTTAATTTATAATAAACATATCAAATAAAAAAAAACCCGGGAGACCACTACAACGAACATCTATGTACTAACCACCCAAATCACCATTTTTCTATATTTGCTTCAGAATTTTTTTATTTTTTAAGGAGAATATTTTTGTATATCGAAGCTCTGTATCCTTCTTCTGTATGTTTTTATATATTTACTATGTCTACTGTACTCACGTACAAAATAAATATTTAGGCAATTTTAACCTATACATATCATACACACATAGATATCATATTATATCTATATATCATTCCACAACTTGCCTTGTCTCTCAATGCTATATACAGTAGTCCTCCCTCATATTCACTGAGGATATGTTCCAAGACCCCCATTGGATGCCCGAAACCATAGATAGTACCAAACCCTATATATACTATGTTTTATCCTATATATACCTACGATAAAGTTGAACTTCTAAATTAGGCTCAGTAAGAGATTAACTAAAACTAATAATAAAACAATTATAACAATATACAGATGAACTCTGAATACACCAGTATGAACTATGCTGGTCCACTTACACATAGATCTTTGTCAAACAAATATGGATCAAAAACATAGTATTAACGGGATGCAAGACCCATGAATACAGACAGGCAACTTTTCATATCACAGATTTTAGTATACTCAGGGTAATTAAGGGGGACATGGGGAATGTCCTGGATCTAATCCCCTGAATATACCAAGGAACAACTGTACTATAATCAAAGTTCTGTGAATGTGGTCTCTCTCAAACTATTTTTTTTTTTTTTTTTGAGACAGAGTCTCATTCTGTTGCACTGGCTAGAGTGCCATGGCGTCAGCCTCGCTCACAGCAACCTCAAACTCCTGGGCTCAAGCAGCCTCCCAAGTAGCTGGGACTACAGGTATGCACCACCATGCCTGGCTAATTTTTTCTATATATTTTTAGTTGGCCAATTAATTTCTATTTTTAGTAGAGACGGGGTCTCGCTCTTGCTCAGGCTGGTCTCGAACTCCTGAGCTCAAACAATCCGCCTGCCTCAGCCTCCCAGAGTGCTAGGATTACAGGCATGAGCCAACACACCTGGCCTCTCAAACTATCTTAATGTATGTAATATTTTCAAACTGAAACTGCAGAGAGTGAAAGCACTGATAAAGGGGGACAACTATATTTAAGATTTATCTTTATTAATATTTGTAGCTCTAGTGTAATTATTTTGACTGATACATGGCATTATATTGCATAAGTAGACTACAATTTATTTTCCATTCCTCTATTGGACAGTATTTACATTACATATAATATTTTACTAAAATAATGCTGCAATGAAAACCATTTTTTCATGTCCCCTCTCTCTATATATATATCTCTATAGAATTCTAGGTCGTTTCTCTTCAGCTGTATCATATTTTTGCCTAGTTGCTCTCCTTGGTAACTAACACTCCCATCCACCATGTATGAAAGATCCTGTTGCTGCACAACCTTGCCTATCATTGGCATTGTGAGATTTTCAAATGTTTGAAAATATGATGGGTGCAATGGTATCTCACTATTCCTTTAACTTGCATTTCTCCAATAATTAATGAGTCTACATATCTTTTCTATCCTTTGACTATTCTCCTATTCAGTTGTCGTTTCCTAATTGATTTGTAAGCAGTTCTTATATAGTCTAGATTTTAATTCTTTCTCAGTTACACTTATCATACATTTCTTCTTCAGCCTTATCATTTTTCACTTTGTTTATGGTGCTTTTTGATGCATGGAAATTTAAAATGTAGTAGAATTTACCCAATCTTTTCCTTATGACTTTTTGTGTCTTACTAAAGAGATCACTATCCACTACAAAGCTCAGTAGGACTATGGCTTCTGTCTCCACTCATGGATTTTTGTTTCTGTTTTGCTTCTCTTTCAGAGATATCTTTAGTTTGGTTAAAAACAAAATAACATACAGCTTGACATTTAATTTTAATGTTCTCTCTTGTATTACTGCCATGTGTCTATAACAGAAAGTGGCCTCTATGTATAAATTTAATTCTATCTCAACTGAAAGCTCCAAATTTCTTTAAATTTCTAAAATTAGGGTCAAGAGTAATCCATCTGAAATGCCTATATTTTCTATTCCTAATTATCTTATTACTACATCAAAAGTTGGTTCTTTCTTATGATTATATATTAGCTCAAATATCATCTTCTTAAACAGACCCCTCAAGTCAATTTTTACTTTGTTATACTCCTTTATTTTCTTCATATCACTTATTACTTAAAATTATGTGTTTACTTGTTTATCGTATGTTTCCCTCATCATTAGATTATAAGCTCTATGAAAATACTTTGCCTGCTGCATCCCCAAAATATGTAAAATACAGATCAAGGTGCAGAGACAGAACTTGTACCAGATCCCCTTAACTTTAGTCTAGTGTCTTTCCATCTCAAATATTTAGCCTCTTGAGCAGTGTTATTTTCCTATAAATTATAAAATATAAAATTATAACAAAAATCACTAATATTCTTAAATGCAAAGCAAATTATAATCACATAAAAAATTATATATTTAATTCAAATTAATCTGGATTAAATTAAGCCTTATAAGTAGCCATAAATTGCTTTGTGCCTTTACTGGAAGAAATAACCTCTGCTATTTAGAAAAGTAAGGACCAGTCCCCTATAACCACACTTTGGCTTAACTAAAACAAATACAATAGGAAAAGGTACCAGAAGGAAAACACATCACAATGTACTTTTGCTTTTTTTTTTAATGGGATTATGTATTTTTCTTTATTTTCTCTATTTCTAAACTTCTTATAGTGTTGTTTTATAATTTTTGTAATTTAAATTTTTTCATTGAGAAATAGAAAAAACAAGCGAAGAAAAAGCTAGAAAAATAGCATATTTACTAACCCTTTTTCAACATTTTCCTTTTTGTTGTAGGGGTAGATGATGTAAGTGCACACGCAAGCATCCCATCTTCTTGAACTTTAGAAGATCCTGCTGAACAAAAACCATAGAATCATTAAAATATTTTAAAATTAATTATCTCCTGTGCTTAGGTACTGGTACTTTCTGAGAGTAGGAAATAGAATATCACTTTCACACTCTCATTCTTAAGAGCTTATATTATTAAATAAAAATAAATATGTGAGAACCAAAATTGCTACCTCTGACACTAAGCATCTCTCTCTAGCTCAGAAAAAGTGATGCAGCTGTTCATGGTAAGACCTGGAGAAGTTGAAGTAGGAGCAGCCATATGCAAAGTGATTCAGCTCTCAGGTAGAAGGAGAATTTTTTTCAATGAAATAGATGTCTGATTCTGAATGATGAGGAATCATCATTTTCAGATCAGACACGTGGTAATCAGTTATTTTGCAAATGTAATACAATTTATCAACTAATTAGGAATACAATATAATCTGAATTAGAGGAAAACAAAGTATGTTTTAAAGATAAATGGAAAAAATACTGATTATTTTTACATTTATACAATAATGTGAATTAATAATTGACAGTATTACCAAGAAGGCACTTTCTACCTAATTTTGTCATTACTATTCATATGTATACATATAAAGTTTTACTAAAATTACTTTATAAGTGGTAGAAAGTTTAAAAATTAAAATTATTTTAAGGTTGATTTAAATATTATCTCTTAGATTTTAATTTGAAACTATTCATTCAATTTTCCTTATTTATTTAATTAATTCAACACATATGGTAAGTAAGTTCCATGAAAAGCTCAAATGTAAACATCAGTCAAAATAAGACCTATCACTAAAACATGTCAAGCTAGTTAGATACAAAGCAATGGGGTTTTACTTTAATAATCTTTAAGTGTAGATTATGGGTATTTATATAGTATATACGTACCTTTTACCCTGCTTTTAGTCTCTGATTGTACATTTTTCAGTTTGCCTAAAAATAAAACCAAAAGTAAACATAAAAATGGCACAATAGGAGACCAGAATATAGGGCACATTATCAAATCAAATCTATTACACATTACCTTTCATTTTCTGTGGCAATTCCTTTGTTTCAATTTCCTCTGAATCACTACTTTCAATGTACTGGACAGCAGTTTTTCTTCTAAAATTAAGTATGCACAAAGAAATTTTTTACCAACCCAAAAGAAAAGATATAAAAACATATGTGTAATAAAGGCAACATAAAATTTTGCCTTGTCCATTTATTTTTTTGAAAAATTTCCAAGGGAAAGATTTTATTTGACAAATGAAAGTCAAATTTACTAAAAGTATTCTGCTTTCATTATCATATAGATGCATTTATTATACAAAATGCAGACCACTATTATTAAAATAAATTTCAAAATTAAGTCATTTTAGAACTGGGCATGGTAGCTCACACCTATAATTCTAGCAACTCAAGAGGCTGAGGTGGGAGGATTGCTTAAACCCAAGAGTTTGATACCAGCCTGGGCAACATAGCAAGACCTTGTCTAAAAAAATAAAAAAATTAGCCAGGTATGGTGGCACACATTTATAGTCCCAGCTACTCGGGAGATTGAGGGAGGAGGGGATCACTTGAGCCTAGGAGTCCTACTCTACTGTGAATTATAATTGTGCCACTGCATTCCAGTCAGGGTAATAAAGGGAGACCTCATCTCTAAAAATAAAAAAAAATTAAGTCATTCTAAAAAAGTAACAATTTCAATACTGAGTTCAATATTTGGTAGTTCAATTAAAAGATTTATATAAAACTAAAACAAAAAAGAATGGGCTCTTATCAAAGAAAATACATCTAGTATAATGAAATAAGCAGCCAGAAGGCAAAAATATAATTCTTTCACAATGGAAAATTTCATAAATTTTGTGTAGAAACAGTATAACACAGTGGTTAAGTAGCTAAGAACAATGGACTCCAGAGTCAGACTGCCTAGATTCAAATTCCCATTCCACCACTAATTTGCTATGTGATTTTAAGTAAGTCACCTAATAATGCTTTAATGTCTCCATTTCCTCATTTGGAAAATGGGAATAAAAGTACATGCAAAGCCCCAGTGCCTATTACACAGTAACCATATCTGTATTAGCTATAATATGTCTGTTGGTTGTTGTTATTAAGTTTTTCTCATGTCCTCCTAATTATTATTTTCATGTCTTTTAATCTGATCTGGTTAAAGGAATAGTGTGCTGTTACTCAGGTTTATGGTCAGTTCGGATTGTAAGATTTGAGATTTAGATAAGAGGGAAACTGATAAGTGCTGATTTTGTGCTCAGTTCGAATTAGTATTAATGCTAAAACAATTATCAAAGCCACAGTTTTAAGATCTTTGTTGGTGAAATAGCTGGCAGAGACTCAGATCTAGGATCACTTCTGTAGATACGGACAGTAGATAATACAACAAAATCCCAGTAGTTAGACCTACTTCAGAGAGTAAATGAAGTTTGTAACATTAACAGATTCAAGATAAGATCAGAGGAAAATTATATGTTTTGTTCAAATTTTCCATCTAGTCTATATTAATATGATACTCTCCATAAATAACTTTTTCATGAATTATTTCCACTACAAGTGAAGTGAGAAAAAACTGAAATGAGCAAAGAATGCTTTTGTCAAGCCATCCAATAAAAAAATATTCTTCAGTTTTCATCCCCTTAAATCCATAAAGAAAACTTCTAAAGTCTCAACAAAAACAAAAATCTCAGACACTAGATCTTAGTCCTAGATGAAAGATATAGGAAAAAAGTGGTAGAAATATGAGTGATTATTAAAAATTACCAATTCATTTCTTTTATAAATCAATATTACCTTATATATTAATATTATCAATATTCTTCACCTTTAGTAAAATGTAAACTCCCTAAATCATAGTGATTTTGGCAGTTTCAAGTAAAAGAATGTGTTTGAAAGAACTATGTAAGTGAGATACAATGATCATTTTTCTCTCCTATATGTAAGAAAACTGAGAAAACTTTAAATAAACATATTTCATATAATCAAACCATAACAGAGTTTACCTTTTGGGGCGGGAGCTAGACAATTCTGACATGGGATACTTATTCTTCTTCTTGACATGTGAAATACTGGGTTCTTCACTAGATCCTTCCATTTTAAAGAAAAAGACAAATGTACAGAGAATTAGTAAATTTTCTTAAACTAGCAATATCTCTCTTAAACCCTTGGTTTTCTAATTAATGATTTTCAGTTTTCTTAACATCTTCATTATTTTCAAGTCCCCTGTTCTCTTAGTGAACCAGCCAGCTACCCTCTTTACTTTTTTCCTAATCTAGTATTTTCTCATGAGAAAGTATTTTCAATTTTTTATGACCCAGTCTTTCCCTTATAGTCATCCTGCCAGTCTCTACCCTGGTTGAATTTCCTGCTGTACCAAGGCAGCTAAGAGCTGCTGGGAAAAAAATAAACAGAACTACAAACAGGTGCTAATATAAATTTACACTTTCATATCTTCTATCACCTTATGTCACTTAGCAACTCTTTTACTTAACACTGTTCAGCCCATCCACTCTCTAGAAAGATCCAAACAGTATTGGATCCTTTGCCTAGATTCTAACTCCTTTTACTCCCAGAAGACCTAGTTCACTTTATAAAAAAAATCAGATACCACTTTCTATAAAATCCTAATTTTCCTATCTTTTTATCTCCTCGTTTGTCTATATCTTCCCTCAACCTTACTCATTTCCTTCTAACTCATCTACCTATTCTCTTGATCCCATTTCCTTTCTCAGGCCCACTAATTACTCTCTCCATTGTATCCAAAATGTCATGAATTTCTTTTTCTTACAACCAAAACCCAAACCAAAAAAACCACCCACCCTCAACTCTGGCTCCTTCTACAACCATTTTTCTATTTCTCTCCTACACCAAACTTACAATGAATAATAGCATATTGTTGTTATTTCTAATTTTTCACCTACTATTCTTAAAATATTTTCAGTCTTGCTCTACTCTAACCTAATTTTCAGAAATTAATTTTGTGAAGGTCATTTAATTGCAAAATCCATAGATCTTTCCATTTCTCCTCTGACTTAAGAATTTTAGTCTAACCTATCTTTCTAGCTTTATTTGCTATTATACACACACATTACATTATAACATTATAAAATACACTGAAGTCCCAGAATAAAACATACTCTACTTTTTTTTAACTACTCTTTCATGAGATTATTTTCATAACCAAAAACACTTCCCCAGCTTCTCTAACTGATGTACTACCACCAATTCAATCATTTCCTTGATGAAAACTTTCCTACCAGTACTGATGAGATCTTTAAAAAAGAGACATCCTAAATTTTTGTACAGTACAAAGCCAAAACTGGAATTACATCACTAGGCTAGAAAAATATACATCAAATATTGGGTCCTATTCAAAATTAAGGTTTACCTTTGCTTAGTCCGTCTGCCTTTTCACTGGTAATGCTTCCTCCAAGTTTCACAGATTTGTCATTAGAATTACATTCCTAGATGAAAAGGCATGTTTCTTAAATACTGCTATTAGTTTTAAATAAATTTAAAATGCATCCTATTTTATATTGCTTTACTTTGCATAATAAAGACTACTTAAATTACTACACAGTTCTCCAGCAACTGGGGGGGGGGTGAATAAGTAAAGAGGAAAATATACAAACTGATTAAAAATGTTTTCACAGGTATTTCAAAAAAGAAAGTGAGTCAGCCTTAGCCTTTTCAAAAGGAATACAAAAAGCAAACCTCGATTTATAAATGACATATTAGTTACTGTGAGTTCTAATTCTTAAAATGGGATTTACTTCATAATGAAGAATTCTCAGACTTTAAGCTTTTCAAACCAGTGTTCCATATTCAGTAAAAAATCTTTAATGAGGCTTCCAGTGCCATCCTTTTCTTCTCTGGAATTTTCAGGAAAGATTGATAAAATAGTACAGGTCCCAGAGTGCCCATCCTCTCCCACCCTATGGAGAATTTTCCTGCCAGCCCTTTCCCTTTTTCTCTTCTTGTGTAACATCTTTGTTTCAAATTCATAAATGTATACATGAGTAAAAAAAATTCTATAGAAGTCAAATTTTAAACACTTTATAAAATCCTGTTAGACTTTTATTAAAAATGTGGCTGAAAAGAAGATCCATCCCTTTCTACTGGTATAGTTGGTATTTCTTTATTATTAAATAAATTATCTAAAATGTAACATTTTTAGAGATATGTAACTCGAAGAGTTATTTTAGGTAATATTCAAAGCATTCACTCCAAGAAATATATATCAAAAATGCTTTCACCAAATGTTCTATCAAGTCTTCAATAATTCATGTAACTGTTTAAACTGTATGCAAAACATAATCTAAAAGTTTATCCACATATAAAGGACGCTCTTTAAATTATTCCTTATATTAAATGATTTTGCTCAGGAAGCTTTTTTTTTTTTACATAAAGTTCAAAGATAAACTTTTTACAAAGTCCAACCTAGATGAAATCATACTCTGCTCCAATCTAAAGGGATTTAAATCAATGATGCTTCACCATGTTAAATTTGAAGTATCTAAATCTATTTGAAACAGTGACAGGTTTTTTGCAATAAATTCTTGGCTGGAAATCACATCTTCAGCTTCCATTTCAATTAATGTAGCAAACTAAATATTCTAAAACCTTCCTACAACACCTCAAATGTGTAGCTGATATTGGGGAAAAATAAGAAAAATCTTTACTGGTAACTGATAATTTCTTAATTGATATAATAATTGAGACTAAAGCTGTAAGTAGTCTCATGTGCTTCTATCAATTCTGGTAACCTAGAACTTCAGTTTTAATAACCAAATGTAAGAAGAATGAGACATAAAGCATTAGACTTCAGGCGAGGGAACTCAATCTTAGACTCCAAGAGGTTTAACTCTCAAAAAAATAAAGAAGAAAATGCAACTAATTGCAGACATTAATAAAATCAAATCTCAATAGCAGGTGGCAGGAAACTGATGTGCAGCCTCTCTGAAAACTAAAAACTGAGGATAATAGTCCAAAAGAGTTCAAAAAAAGAGAGATTTTGCACACATCTTTTTGCTATTTCCTATTTAAGTTCTTTGAATTTTCAGTAAAAACAAAAATGATTGTTCCTTTCCAGTAATATTTATTTTTCTCATTAAACTAATTTTTAATTCTTAGAAATTGAACATACATGGGTAGATACATAAATATACATACATTAAATATCAAGAAAAATTACCCATATTCTCATCACTAGGACAAAAATTATCAATATTAACATTTTAGTACACATAATATGTGTGAATATACTTAAGACACACAAAAATAAATTATATATTTATAAAATGAGAACTCAAACTCTGTTATACAGAGTCTTGGCATTATTTTTTTACTAAAAAATATCAGGAGGTCCAGGCATGGTGGCTCACCCTGTAATCCTAGCACTTTGAGGCCAAGATGAGAGGATCATTTGAAGCCAGGAGTTCAAGACCAGCCTGAACAACACAGGACAACCCTGTCTCTACAAAAAATAGAAAAATTAGCTAGTCATGGTGTCATGCTCCTGTAGCCCCAGCTACTTGGGAGGCTGACACAGGAGGATGTCCTGAGCCCAGGAGTTTGAGGTTGCTGTGAGCTATGATGACATCGCTGCACCCTAACCTGGGCAACAGAGCAAGACCCTATCTCTAAAAAATAAAAATAAAAAATATAAAATCATGAAAGTGATTATTCATCAAAAATAAGGTTTTGTGATTGTATAATACTAAATTTTATGGCCATATCATAATTTAACTGTGCCCTTATAGAAAGATGTTTCAAATTGTCCCCCTTTAAAATGATGGTGGAAAAAAACTTATACTTTTATCTTTGGAAAAAATGGATTTCTGGTAATGCCTATAGTTTCTTAAAAATGGCATTATTGACTAGGTCAAAGATTATGAACACTTTTAAGGCTCTGGATATCACCCTCAAGAAGGTGATAGCAACTTTCACCCTTAGCAGCAACACTCAAGACACGTCATTCATTACATCTCTGAAAATAGTAGATGTTATCCATTTTTTGGTAATTTTTTAAATGATAAAATGTAAAGGTTTCACAGTAAACCAGAAACTTAACAGGAAATACACTTACTAATACTTTACCTTCTTCAGTAGATTCTTTTTTAGTCTTTCAATAGGAAGAGGTTTGCCATCATGGAAGTTGGTAAGAATTACTGCAATGGCCGTGAGAGTTTTACCCTTCAAAATGTTTTTAAAAGACAAATGGTCAGATTCTGAAACCCAGCTTCAAAAACCAGAAAATATTCTAAAACCAATTTTAAAGTCAAGTAATCAAATATCAATATTCAGGGCCACAAGTGCACTGATTATACTAAGTAACATACATGTTAATTAAAAATCATTTCATTTAGTTAGGAACTGCCTTTACCCACATGAAGAATTATCAAATGATTTACACTATAAAATACTACAAGCATGTCTTATATAAAATGTCATTTTACTGAGTGACTGCTGTTCTAAAATTTTACATGTAACCCTGAACTATTAATTTTATCATGAAATTATTCACAACTACTTATTTACCATGAAGTTCAGAACTAATGCAAAATGATTAGTAATTCCAGTATGTATATGAAGAGATAATCATTAAATATGATTTAAAGATAATACCAAGACATAAAAGCCATAACTTATCAATAAAGCATAAAGGACATGGTATTTCTTATGCATTGTTCTTAAATAGAACTGTAAATTTTCAACATTTTATCCAGTTTAATTTATATTTAACAATACATATATTCCTGGATACAGCTGGAACCCATTCTACTAAGTGAAGTATCTCAAGAATGGAAAAACAAGCACCACAGGTACTCTCACCAGCAAATTGGTATTAACGGATCAATACCTAAGTGGACATATAGGAGTAACATTTATCAGGTGTCGGGAGGGTGGGAGGGGGGAGGAGGAGAGGGGTATATACAACCACAATGAGTAAGATGTGCAATGTTTGGGAGATGGACATGCTTGAAGCTCTTACTCGAGGGGGGAGGGGGCATGAGCAATATAAGTAACCTTAACACTTGTACCCCCATAATACGCTAAAAAAAAAAAATACAAAAATAAATCTCTGGCAATTATAAAGCAGTATAAAACGGTAGTTTTCAAAGTGTGGTCCACAGGCCTCTGGGGGTATTCCAAGGAAATCGTGAGGCAGAATGATTTTTATACTACTGCTAAATAAGATAGTATTTGTGTTGACATCTGCACTAATGCTATAAAAACAAATGGTGGAAAAAGTGCTGGTACCTTAGCATAAAACAAAGGAGTTGGCTCTATGCTACTAATATATTAGTGGCCATGATGTTCCTAATCACCACATACAGTAAACAACAACAATAAAAAAAAATTAAAATTAAAAAAGCAGTACACATTAACTTTATTAAATCTCACCTCTTAAGTAGACATCTTTTTAATATTCTGTGTAACAAAATGGGAAGTATACATAAAATACTTCTGTTGTATAGCAAAATATGGGGGTTTGTCTAGAGAAAAATAACTTAAGGATAAGTTGCAAGTTTAACTAGCCACTTTTTTTTAGGCTTTTTATTTGAAAGAATGACTGACAACTGCCATTCGCAATTGGGTGCCTGGAACACATTTTATCCAAAATGAACAAAGGGAGGCCATCATCTTCAAGGGAAACAACTGAGACTATTTGTTGTCGATGATAAAATCTGAGTTTTCGATCAGAAATTAGAGTACAAAAAAAACTGTATCTGATAGTATGAATATAGCAGATTCTCAAAATGTAAATGCTTTTCTAATAAGATCAGTGATAATAGGTTATTAAGTATGAAATGTCCGATTTCCTGAAGTGCTAAGTTTGACAGTCAATATCTCTGACGTTTCACTTTGACATTTCTTGTTTTATTTTTATTGTAAAGGGACATCCTCAGTCTTGCAAATGCATTTTTTGGCTTGTAATTATCTTTCAAATTTTTTTTAGAGCACGTTTTGTGAAACCATGGATAGGTCAAAAATTTGTGTTATTTTTGAATGAGTTCCATCATGGAAATATTGCAGTGCAGACAGTTCAGAATACCAACAAAGTATTTGGGAAGGATGTGGCTAATGAACACATAGATGGTTTGAGAAATTCCATTGTAGTGATTTTAATCTTGAAAATGAGCCACGTGGGCAACCTGACACCAAGGTGGATAATGATGAGCTAAAAGCTATAGTGGAAGCGAATCCATCTCAACCTATGCATGAATTAGAAGCAGAGTTTGATGTTAATATTCCAATAACATTGGATGATTTGAAACAAATTGGCAAGGTAAAGAAGCTGAATAGATGGGTTCCCCATGTATTAAATGAGTGTCAGAAAAGAAATTGTCTCGAACCTTGCCTTTCTTTACTTTCATGACATAAAGGTGAACCATTTCTACACTACATTGTTACATGTGATGAAAAATGGATTCTGACAATTGCCAAGTGTTCAGCACAAAGGATGGATAAAGATGAAATGCTGAAATACAGTCCAAAACTGAATACTCATCAAAAAAAGCTAATGGTGTCTGGTCATCCAGTGCTGGTATTATCCACTACAGCTTCAAGATACCTGGTCAATCTACTACAATGGATGTCTACTGTAATCAACTGGATGAAATGATGAGGATGCTTGTGATAAAGCAGCCAAGACTGGTCAACAGAGAAGGGCCAATCCTCTTGTAAGACAATACTCGACCACACGTCTCACAAACAATGCAACTCAAACTACAGAAGCTGGACTTGCAAACTCTCTGTCATCCACCATATTCATATTACCAGACCTTGCACCAACTGAGTACCACTTCTTCCAGGCTTTGGACCACTTCTTGCAAGAATAAATATTAATTCTCAACAAGCTGTGGAAAACGCCTTTCATGATTTCATCACCACTTGCTCTCCAGGTTTCTTCACTGCTGACATAAACGAGTTACTATTAAGATGGCAAAACCATGTAGATAGTTTAGGCACACACTTTGATTAATTGTACTGCTTCTTTTCTGAGATATGATAAACTGCACGTTCGATTCACAATCGGACATTTCATATTTAATGACCTAATAACATCAATTGATGTAAATTTTCAATACTGCATAATGAGATGTATCAACATTTGGCAAATCTGTATAACTCAATGAACTAGTATTTTCTAAATGAGCAATACTTGATGTCATAAAATTATGCATGGGTAAAACACTCATTCAATGGGCAAGAGAAACAAATGGATTTTAATGAAACAGTATAAAAAATTCACTGATATGATTTCAAGTTCCATATTATAACCAATATCTTTTAATAGACAAATACTTGAATTTTGGTATAGTATCAAAAAAGAAATCTATAATTATCTGAAAGGCTATTAAAATACTCCTCACTTTACAACTACATATCTACGTGAGGACAAATTTTCTTCACATACTTTAATTAAAACAACATTATCACAATAGGTTGAATTAAAAAAACAGAAGAATTCAGCTGTCATCTATTCAGCCAAACAAGAAAAGAATCTGCAAAAAGTAAAACAATGCCAGTCTTCTCACCAATTGCTATTGTTTTGGAATAGTTACTTTTCATTTAAAAATATCCTACTTACGTTAACAAGTAATGAGTCTGTCAACTGTTTTAAATTAACAATGCCTAATACTATAAATATTAATAGAAGCAGCCTACAAAAACAAAAGCTCTTCATCTTTAATAATTTTTCTTTTGTATTTTGAGACAGAGTCTTGCTCTTGTTGAGTGCCGTGGTGTCATCCTAACTCACTGCAACCTCAAACTCCCGGGCTCAAGCGATCCTCCTACCTCAACTTCCTGAGTAGGTAGGACTACAGGCCAGGCACATGCCAGGCTTGGCTAATTTTTTCTATTTTTAGTAGAGAAAGGGTCTTGCTCTTGCTCCAGTTGGCCTCGAATTCCTGACCTCAAGCGATCCTCCTGCCTCAGCCTCCCAGAGTAGGATTACAGGTGTGAGCCACCATGCCCAGCCGATCTTCAACAATTTTTAAGAGGAAACAAGGTTACTGAGACCAAAAAATATAAAATCTACCAGTGTAAGAAATCATAAATATCTATTTCATACTCTGTACACCATAATACTTGAGATAGAATACAACTCCACATAACACTGTTTTATCTTTACTGTTTAAAAGAAAACCCATGAAAGACAGTTTACCCTAAATTTCAAAAAGCAAAGAAAATGGAGAAACACATTTTTCACATTACTGCTTCCTAATTATTTTAATTGCATTTTAACCAAACAAAACGTTTAACATTATTTTAAGTGAAAACTATAGGAAAAACTGTGTTCTACAGTGAAAGTAAAATCTAATCCCAAACTGGCACCAACATATTCCTATCTCTTTCTACTTCAAATTACTCTCTACAAAATCATAATCACAAAATAAGATTTTATTAAAGAAAAAAATAATTACCAAACCCATATCATCAGCTAAAATCCCTCCATGGACATTTTCTGGTCGGTCCTTCTCAGAAAAATTTGTTATTGTATTATAATATAAGTCATTTCGCTGTTCCCAGAATGGTGGAAGTTCTTTACTGTTTTCTCGTGAAACCATCCAAGCTAGAGCTTGTTTTTGATGTGGAAGCAATGGTGTTTCAATAGCCTATAAATAAAATGTCACAAAGAGAAATACAGTAAGCCCTTTCCTTTTTCACATGCAGAATATGAAAAGGTTGATTTTGTGCTTAAAAAACAAGTATAGATTATTAGCGTATTTTAAAATTTTGAATAGTTTTAAATAGAAAATATTGGCTCAATACCTCAGCTGGTTCCATTTCATGAGTTTTATCATCTTCTTTTAAATCTTCAAACAATTTGTCAAATTCTGTTTTAAGCTACAATAAACAGCAATAAGAAACATGAAACAAACCAATTAAAATAATAATTGTACCTACTTCAGAGATTTCAAATCATTCAGTTAACTAAAAGAGTCAAAAGCCAAAAGGCACATGAAATACATTAACTCTCTGAGACACTACCCTGCTCATTGAAAGTAGATGCTTTAGATTTAAGAGGTAACTGTATTATATTTGAAAGAATACAGAAAAAAGAGTTTTAAGTCCTGGGTTTTAGTCACAGTTCTGTTACAAATAAGCCTATACGTAAGTTTGAGCAAGACACTTAACCTTTATGGCCCTGTATCTTATTCCTGTAAAATGAAAGGGATGAACTAAATTTAGATTATGTCTAAGGTTCCTTCTGCCATTAAAATTCTGTGATTCTATTAGTTGTATTCAAACTATTTTGTCAGTCCTACAGGTGTATTTCACTCTTTTTCAAGTCAATGAGATTTCATTTATTATTACTGCAATAAGGAACTTGCTATGTGCTATAAAATATTAGGATGATTTCATTATTATACTAATCTAGTTGGCTACTTAAGTTGAGCTAGTCCAAATCTGTATCTCTATATATGTATTATAGACAATTTTGTAAATTAACACTGGAATACATAGCAGCAGCCCAGAAGAAAGCAATTACATCTAAAAAATTAGGAGTGTTAACCTGGGGTTTACCCACCAGACACAGGCTCGAGTCCTTCTAACAATAAGCAGAAGAAATATGATAATTACAATTAGTAGATAAAAGAACTAGCACCGGTGGTTATAGACAGACATCAAAAAAAAAAGTTTTGATGTTATTTTTAAATTGATCTTCGTTAATTTATTTTATATACATTTTTTCAAAGTAACTCAGCATTAAAAGGCTCCTAGATTACAAATATGACAAAGTAAAAACTACAATAATTCCAAAGATTTGGAGTTAACTTTTAGCAAGGCATTTGCAAACTTACTGAAAGGAGCAACAATAAGTTTTAAGCTTCGATTTTTTAAAAATTAATTTACTTAATTTTAGTGATGGGGTCTTGCTATATTGCCCATGCTGGCCTAGAACTATTCTCACCTCAGCTGCCTGAGTAACCAGACTACAGGTACATGCCACAGTACTCCTTAAATTTTTTTTAAATTACAACTTAAACATTTTAAAAATTTCAAATACAAAGATATATCATGCAAATACAGTAATGTGTTTTTATGTATGTATAAATTTTTTTAATGTATAGATTTCTTACCACTGCTTTTGACATAAATGTTTACAAATATTTATTCTACAACATGTTTCATTACAACTTAATATAAGATCACTAATACCAGCACATACATACATATTTACTCTATTCTTTTAAACACAAACTTTCAACATTTAAAATTCACTTTTAGATTACAAAATAAAAGAGAAGTACACCTGTTCAGTTGTCATCTGTACTGCCGCATGTCCTGGCATACTATAGCTTGGTCCAGCTCTTCCAGAGCCCCAACCACTTTCCAAACTGTATCCTAAAGTTATAATTTACAAAATGGAAAGAATAAAATCATCAAGTGAAATAGGTTTATCTTTTAATAAGTAGCTTTTAAAATTTATATAATGCACTGCATTAAAAAGTTTATAATACATTTTAAGTTTTCTTAAAAACTAAATCCTAAAATATTTCAAAAAAACACATTATTAAAATAATTTTACATTTTAGAATGTAGAATTCTAAACTCTTCCCAAATAAATAATCCTTACTCATTAACTTTTTGTCTAAAATTTATCAAAAATAATGTCTAAAATCAGGGATTTCCTGGTGTTATCCCTAGGGAAAATTAGGAGAGGGTATATGTGATCTCCCTTTATACTTTTGTATGTGTAAATTTATAGTTATTTCAAAATAAAGGCAAAAGGAAAAATCAGACATTTCCTCAAAAAGACTCTAGAAGAAATGTTATAACTTGGGAGTCTTCAGTACAAATTCATGTGGCCAAACAAATTCAAACAGAGATGAAATGTTTTACAATCCCTGCATCTTATAATATCAAAATTATTTTAAGTTAAACCCTAAACTTACTTTTTGGTGCAGAACCCAATTTCAATCCATGTTTCTTCAAATGATCTAAAACCGCTTTTCTATTTTCTTCTTTTCCCCAAAAAGTCATATGCAGAGGCATGGTAAAAGCATTGTTTGCACCAAAAGGAACTACCCTATTATATTTAGGAGAGGAAAAAAATGGGAAATTAGAAGTGTTATTTTTTACCCCCATTAAAATTCTGTTAAATATTCTACAGGTACCATTCAAATTTTGCATGGAAGTAAAATAAGAAGCAACTGGTTGGGCAGACTTAAAGGAAAGAAAAAGGATAAGGAATAAGAATTATCAACAATCAGAAGAAAAGGGTCATTTTTAGGAGCAGAATGCCAAAAGAAACTGAGATGGAATAAAGCAATTTTAAATTACAAGGAGAGCCTGTAAACAAGATTGTAAGATAAGAAAAAAAAAGTAAGTTACATTGAGAGGGTAGAGCTTTGGCTAACAAGAATCACTGAGGATAATAATTCATTTGCTGGGAGGATGGGGAATAACTTACAAGAACTATTTCTAATCCAGGATTCACTAAAAGTTTATTCTCAATATCTGAAAAACTTGAATTGAAAAAGGAGAAAACACAGTGAGACAATACTGAGCATTTATTTTATATTCCAAACTCACCTAGGATTAGGATATGAATATTATAAACATTGGGATTAGGATATGAAGATCCCAAACATTTCAAAAACTTAAATGGAGATCACAAATACAAATTCCTAAAAGAGAAAAAGGTAACTGAGAGGAGACCTGAGTTTGAAAAAAGAAAGGAAGAGGTGGTAGAACTGGGAGAGCATATGCCCTACCTATGGAGACAGCTACTACTCAGTTTCATTCAACTGATGTCATATGGAAATGAGGGTCCACCATTGTCAGATCTTCCATTTGTTAAGAGAAAAATCTTAGTAAATAAATTTTATATTTAGGGAAACAATATGTGTAAAATATAGAACATCTAGATATTTCAATATTGGAAATGAAGGAAAAAATTTCTAAAACACTGTGGAGGCAAAATAAAACTCACATACATCTCATCACAGACTACCTAACTCCTAAAACTAGGTATCAAAAGGCTTAGATAGATGGAGTGTACTTCCTAACAAATGAATCAAAGTCTATTATTCTCCAAAGTAACAATTCAATAGGAAAATGAGAGGATAACTGTTTGATGGCTGAGGTAGTGGAGGCAGATTAGAGGAAAATCAAAATGTTTAAATTGAACACACATCAAAGGTAAAGTGATAAAAGTTGTCAGAACACCTCTATAGGCATTAACAAGAAGGCCTAACAAATTCAAAGATGACTATAATTCACAATATTAAACTATGAAAGTACATTACCCTTCAATTTGTGCCAACTTATTGTCCATGATATAGGCCAAAGCAGCTGCATGATCTTTCTTTAAATAGCCAACTTGATTTCCATTCACATTGTTTACTTTAATTGCATTTTTATCATAGGAGTTATTAGGCTCTCGTTGTAATGCAACCATTTCATTATTATTAACCTAATAAAATGATAAACACATAATAACATTTTAAATAATTAACAGACAACAACCTTACCATATTTTTTCTGGAATTTCCATTCATTTTTTAATGTTACTGGTAAACACTGCATATAACAATAATAAAATTTCTTGGAATCAAACTATAGAAATATATAGTTTACAATGATTTTTAATATTACTTTTCTAATCTGTATTCACTAGGAAGTTAACAAATCCTTGAAATGTAAAAAGTACAAATCTAAATTAGCAAATTCATAGTATCTAAAATTTTCAACATTATAACTTTTGAAAAATAGCTAACCTTTATTGAGTGCTTACTATGTGCTAAGCATGGGTCTAAGTACATTACATAGACTGACTTTCTAACATAGACTGACTTTCTAAATCTCATAACCCTATTGGGAGACACTACCATCATTCCCATTTTACAAATGAAGAAACTAAAGCACAGAGAAGTTAAGTAACTTGCCCAAGGTCACAAAGCTAATAGGTAGCAAAGCTAGGAACTGACTCGAGGCAGGCTGGTTCCTGATCCTGAATTTTCCAGAATATTAAAAAATGGGAGTGGAGGAGGCATTTATAACCCATGATGGAACTGGAATAATAAAAAGTATGTCCAGCCTTCAACTCATGCCATTCTATATGAGGGCAACATAATCAAAGATGGAAGAGTAAGAACTTTCAAAAATTCTCTCCTCAGTAAAAGCAGTAAAAAACCTAGCAAAAATAGTCATTATCAACTTTTTTAGAATTCTAGGAACTAAACAAGGCTTGCAGAAATTTGTAGACTGTTTATTCAAGAAAAAATGGCTGAGATCAGGCATGGTGGCTTATGCCAGTAATCCTAGAACTTTGGAAGCCCAAGGCAGGAGGACTGCTTGAGGCCAGAGTTCGAAACCAACCTGAGCAACATAGTGAAACTTCCATCTCTACAAAAAAACAGAAAAATTAGCCAGGAATGGTGATGCAGACCTATAGTCCCAACTACTCCAGTGGCTGAACCAGGAAGATTGCCTGAGCCCAGAAGTTTGAGGTTGCAATGATCTATGAAGACACCACTGCACTCTAGCTCTGGTAACAGAGTGAGACCAGAGAAAGAAAAGAAAGAAAGATAGATGAATATTAGTACCCTAGTCCCATCCCCAGCTCTCCAGCTACATAGTAACCTTTAAAAATAATAGCCTGCTGGGATTCTAGATACAGCCTGGCAGTCACCAGAAAGAACAGAACGGAGTTCTAGCTCTTTCAAAAATTAATTCCCAAAGAGCTGTCATTAGCTGACCTGTCTGGAGGTTTCCTAGAAGACCCCATTTAAAAGACTGGCTATATTTACCTCTGAGCTCATCTAGTACAAAATACTTCTCGCTTGGACAGATGTTTGTCAAAAACAATTTTACTGGCAAGTATTTTAATTTCATGGCTGCATAAGACAATGAATAACATTTGGAGCAAACATCAGAAAAACAAAAAGGATATTAGGAAAAGCTGAGGAATAAGATGTCATTAAGGTCTTTGCAAAGCTCCAATATAATTCTGTAAATCTAGAAGACCATAAGCAAACACAGTGCTGTATGCATGACCAGGGCTGTACACATTCTCAGGAAAGACTTAAGAAGGTCCTAAGCTCTCATTTCTGGCTAAACTTGTAGCATTTAGCTAGTAGAACATGAAAGTTAAAAGCAGTCAACTGCCTTAGAGTGCTGAAGGAATGCCCCAGCACACAGAGAGTCTCCGCAAAGACTGGGAGATTTATTTGTTCCAGTACAATCATTAGCTGACCACTAAGCTAACCAAGTACAGACTTCAGTGACCATACAATACAGAACAGATTTTATACAATTAATTCAGAAAAGTCACCAAGAAACAAACACTAATCACCTAAATCAGCCACAACAACCCTGGGAAGAAAGGAGAATCTGATTTCCAGTTGCCACATTATTTAAAATGTCCACTTTTCAAGAAAAAGGTACAAAGCATGAAAAGAAATGAGAAAGTATGGTCAATAAACAAGAAAAAAAGCAATCAATATCAACAGTCCCTAAGAAAGTACAGATGTCAGATATATGAGAAAAAGAATTTAAGCCAGCTATTTTAAATATGTTCCAATATCTAAAGCAAAGTATTTCTTTAGACATGAGAATGCATGTCTAAAAACATAACAACAAAGTCTCACCAAAGTCTACAGCCAAAAAGTATAAAAACTAAAGTAAAAAATTCACTAGAGTGGCTTAAGAGCAGATCTAAGCAGGCAGAAGAAAAAATTAGCAAAGTTAAGGATAGAAAGAAAGAAATGAAAAAACATAAAGTCTCAGAGACTTGTAACATCAAGCATACCAACACACACACACACACACACACACACACACGTACCAGAAGGGGCAGAAAAATACTTAAAGAAATTATGACCAAAAACTTCCCAAATTTGACAAAAAACATTTTTTTCTACATAAAGAAGAAGCTTAACAAATTCCAAGATGAACTCAAAGAGATCCACACCTGGAAACATCGTAATCAAACCATCAAAAGAATCTTGAAAGCACCAAGAAAGGAGCAACTCATCACATATAAGAGATCCTCAGTAAAAATAACATCTGATTTCTCATCAGAAACCACGGAGGCCAGAAGGCAGTAAGATAACTTTTCCAAGTACCAGAAGAAAAAACTAAGAATTTTATATATGACCAAACTACCCTTCAAAAATGAAAGAGAAATTAAGACATTTCCAGAGAAACCAAAACTGAAAAAATCCATCACTAGCAGACCCAACCTATAGGAAATACTAAAGGAAGTTCTTCAGACTGAAATCAAAGGACACTAGACAACAGCCTGAATCCACATGAAGAAATTAAGAGCACAGGTAATGATAATATATAAGTAAATATAAGAAACAGTATAAATGTATTTTTGTTTGTAATTTTTTTCTCCTACCTGATTTAAAAGACAACTGGATAAAATTGTAATTATAAATCTGTGTTAATGGGCATACAACATATATAAAGACATAATTTATATAATAGCACAAAGAAAAGTTGTAGGATGGAGTGATCTAGGAGCAAAGTTTTGACCAACTACTGAAATTAAGTTGGCACTTATTCAAACTAGATTCTTATAAATTAAGATGTTAATTGCAGTCCCTAAGACAATCATATAAAAATAACTCAAAATATATAGTAAAAGAAACAAGGAAATTAAACTGGTGCACCAGAAAATACCCATTTCACACACAAAAAGACAGTATTGAAGGCCAGATCCAAAGGCTACATATTGTATGATTCCATTTACATAAAATGTGAAGAACAGGCAAATCCATACAAATAGAAAACAGACTGATTAGTGGTGGCCAGAGACTCAGGAGAGTGGATAACAAGGAGTGACTACCAACAGGTAGGAGGTTTCTTTCTGGAATGATGAAAAGTTTCTCAAACTAGATAGTAGGGAAGGTTGCACTGAATATTCTAAAAATGATTCAACTGTATGCTTTAAAATGGTGGATTTTATGATATATGCATTATCTCAATTTTTTAAATTTTCTGAAAAGATATAGGAAAGTTGCTTCAAACCTCTCATAACATCTATCTACTGACTCAAGAGACTACAACCTGAACCAATTAGAATATCAAACAGATATTCCTCTCTAGCCCTTTGGAGATATTTCATGTGGCAAAGCTCTGTTCTCTGCCAGCCCACCACCCCTTGGCCACTGCCTTCAGCATGATCTTTTTAAACGAGGTTATGTAAATCCTAGAAATATATAACAACAACAAAAAAAAAACAGAGCAAAAACTAACAATTTTTAAACATTTCATCTCAAATAAGATAATTACATAATTGTCATTTATTACAATAAAGTACCATTAATTAAAATTAGATGACTGTCATTTATTACAAATGATAGCTAATTACTGGAATTTTAAATAGAATATATACATGGCCCAAAATAATGAAGGCTAACAAAAAAAAACAAAAACATGGTCCAAGCAACAAGACAAAATATATAAAAAACAAAAGCTCAATACAACAATATCAAAAAGACAGAATTACAGTTAATCATAACAATATAGTCATGCCCTGTATAACATTTTGATAATGACAGAACGCATATATATCGGTGGTCTCCTAAGACTATAATGGAGCGGCCCTATACAGGTGTATCATTTTTTATCTTTTATACAGCATTGTTAGTTTTAGATATGCTTAGATACACAAGCATATCTTATGTTCAGATATGCTTAGATACACAGATACTTATCACAGTTATAATTGCCTACAGTATTCAGTACAGTACCATGCTGTATAGGTTTGTAGACTAGGAGCAACATGCCATACCATAGAGCCTAGGTGTGTAGTTAAGCTATACCATCATCTAGATTTGTGTAAGTATATTCAAGTATACTCTATGATGTTCACAGAACGAAGAAATTGCCTAATGAGCCATTTCTCAGAAAGTATCCCCATCATTAAGTGACATATGACTATTTTATTTTATTTTTAAATTTTTTTTTTTTTTTTTTTTTTTTTGAGACAGAGTCTCGCTTTGTTGCCCAGGCTAGAGTGAGTGCCGTGGCGTCAGCCTAGCTCACAGCAACCTCACACTCCTGGGCTCGAGCGATCCTTCTGCCTCAGCCTCCCGAGTAGCTGGGACTACAGGCATGCGCCACCATGCCCGGCTAATTTTTTTTATATACATATCAGTTGGCCAATTAATTTCTTTCTATTTATAGTAGAGACGGGGTCTCGCTCTTGCTCAGGCTGGTTTTGAACTCCTGACCTCGAGCAATCCGCCCGCCTCGGCCTCCCAGAGAGCTAGGATTACAGGCGTGAGCCACCGCGCCCGGCCTAAATTTTTTTTTATTTCGGCATATTACGGGGGTATAAATGTTTAGGTTATGTATACTATCTTTGTCCCACCTGAGCACGACTGTATTTTAGAATAAAAAAAAATAAGCCACCTTATTATAAAATAAAGTCTTTGATGGAGTAAAATCTGATAGGTCAAGAAATAAAAAATTTAACTATAACCTTACTGAAAACACACTTTAAAGAAAAACCACAGTAAAAATGAGCAATGCTACTATATAACAAATCTTAGTATATATAAGTATATGCAGTACTTATAAGAATATTTAAAAGATTTCATTATTAAACAATTAAAATTAAGTGCTCAAAATCATGAATCCAAAAAAAAGAACATTAATGAATTTGAGAATAGAGAGTAAAAGCAAAACTACTAAGTGAAGAAAAATAATCATAAAAAAATCCAAGAAAGGTTGTTTGAAAAGAAATAAGACAGATAAATCTCTATCAAGCCTAATTAATAAAAAGAATATAAGAACAGACACAAATATATTAACACAAAGAATGAAAACAATAACATAACCATAAACATAGTTTAAAATTTTTAAGTATAAAGGATTAATATGTACAAACCTTTGGGAATAAATATGACAGTCTAAATAAACTGGATGTTTTAAAAATATATAAACAACCAAAATTGACCAAAGTAGTACCAGAATTACGCTGAGTGAAAGAAGCCAGAATGAAAATTACTGTACGAAAATTACTGTGTGATTCAACGTATATATAGTTCTAGAACAGGCAAAACTTATCTATAATTGATAGAAATCACATTGGGGGTTGCCCAGGGCAGGAGCAGAGAGAATTGATTATAGTAAGATACAAGAGAACTTTCAGGGTGATGGATACAATCTGTATCTTGATTGGGGTGGTTATCAGATATATATCTTTGTCAAAACTCTAGAGATCATACACTTAAAATATATGCATTTTATCCAGATCTCAATAAAGTTGAAAAAAGTTAAAATAAGAAAAGTATGTAAAGATAATATCTCAATTTTTGTTACAGTATTTTTTCATAACAGTGATCAACTCCAAAATGTCTACCAATAAGGAAATTGTTAAGTATGACATAGATTTGTACTGACATGAAAAGATATTCCTAATGTTTTGCTAAAATAAAAAAAGGTGATCATAATAGGCATAATATTATCTCATTTTTATTGATATATAATATGATTCTGATTTACATGCATATGTTCACAGAAAAAAGTATAGAAGATAAATAAGTTATGGTTCTGGATGGTAGACTTAAGGAAGATTTAATGCTTTTTAGCTATTTGAAAATAACGAATATTACTCATAAAATATACATTTTGAAAAATAAAAATATAAGTGATAATTACTTCTAATCAGCACACATTTTTATTAGTTTACCAATGTCATAGAGATTGTTCTAAGATCAGTAACTCCCATGAGCTAATATTTCATAGTGGCATAAAATAATTTAGAAAACAATGTTAATTTTTTTAAAAATTGCACAAATCTGAAATAGAAAAGCTCAAAAACAGATATGAGACCTAGAGAACAGATAGATACAAAATAAGAACTGGCAGATTTAAGGAATCTATTAAAAAAACAGAATAAAAAAGAAAAACCATTTCAAAATTAAAGACTAAAGTAGAAAGAGACACAAGAGTTAACAGACTCTGTGAAAAATATGGTAAGAAAAATCAATGGTGTAAAAAATATGATCAAAAGGATTACAAAAGAAGTTAACAGACATATAGACAGAGGAGATCTAATATAGAGGAAGATAAAATGGAGCCTATGAAGAAAAAAACAAGCTTTGGAACAAAGCAAACATTTAAAACTATAATTCCAGAAAATTGTCTGAATTAGAAGAAAACAAATTTACAGAATGGTCAATACTTAAGATATACCATGGTGAAACTATTGGGCTTTAGTTATCTGGCAAAAATAATTCCAATTCACTTAAGTGGGAGAGAAAATCATATTGGGATGAGAATTCTACCAACATTTTATGAAACATTAAGCTATGGAGAGAAAATTTGAGACAAGAATTTTATATTCAGCCAAACTGCCCATCAAGTATAAAATGCTATAATTATGAACATACAAAAACTTAGGATACATTGTTTCTTTATAAGGAATCTCCCACTTAGATAACACATTTTAGACAATCACAAAACAATGTGAGATGCTTCAACATAAAGAAAATATGGGAGAAAGACTAGACAAATCCAGAACATGGAACTCTTTCCCAAGGAATCTCCTACTGAGTATGCTTCAGACAATTAAAAAAATGATTTGACAAGCTTCAACATAAGAAAAATATGGGGGCATGGAAGAACTAACAAATTCACATACTTCGAAAAACAACAGACCCGATTTTTACAACAAACCAATAACATAAAACAAGGTGTTGAGGGGAAGGGCTTTATATCCCATAATAACTAAAATAAGGCATGAACTTTATTTTGATCCTGATTTCAAAAAATCAACTGTAAAGGAATGTTTTTAAAAAAATCAAGAAAATCCAATTATGGATTAGTTATTAAATGCTATAAGGAATTATTATTAATTTTAAGTATGAAAATGACATGTAAGGTAATGTCTGTATGTTTTTATAGATACATACTGAATCACATGAATATAAAATAATAAATTTGGGATTTACTTTAGTCAGCAAGAAAAAAGAAAGGATGAAGCAAATGTAGAAAAATTTGTTAACTGTTTAATCTGGACCATGAATATATAGAAGTTTATTGTGCATGTTTGAAATTCTTCTTAATAAATTAAATAAAATTAGAGGTTTTTCTAAATAACACAGAGGCACATTAGATGACTATGACAAAGACAACTATTAACCAGAGAAAGTTACATATATTCTCAAACTGTCTCTCTTTCGTGACCATACACACAATGCAGAGAACAGAGAGATACACAACGATAGATACAGGAAGAAAAGGTGGAGAATGTTATTACCAAAAAAAAAAAAAAAAGTTTAAAAATAGACAATTCCCTTACCTAGTAGGATTTTCCTAAATTAAAAATATTAAAGTGAAAAATGTGCTGAGGGGCAGAAGTACAGAAAGCAGTAGACTTGGAAGTCATCTCCAAAATTTACCATATAGTGTCCATGCATATTGGGCAAATCTTATAATATTCCAGACCTTCAGTTCCTTAGTTACAGAAAGAGAATAGATGCCCTACCTACCTCAGAGTTATCGTAGGGAGCAAATGACAGTGCAGGCAAAAGTGCTTTGCATATTGTAAACATGAAATAAATGTAAAAGAATATTAAAGTAGTTCAGGTATTTGTTATCTCTTGTCTACATATATTTTAATTACTTAAAGTAAAATAAATATTAACTGTACATATCACCTTCTAATTCTTATTTTCTACATTAATATCACAAATATAACTTAACTTAGTATCTATCTACTGTTATACTCACTACTCCTGTGTAATAGCGCAGTCCAACCACACGACATCTCAAAGTTCCAAATAAAACTGAATCTAGCTCTTCATCACTAGTTAGGAAGTCATCTGGAGGAATAATATCTTGGAATTCAAAGTGTGGGAAAAAAGTTGGATATGAGTGGCGTGGAAAATTTGCATGGGCTGCATACTGAACAGTCTGCAAGTACTTCCAAAAAGGCTCCCTAATGAAAAAAAAAAAAAAAAGACAGAAAAAAATACAATATTTAACCAAGCATTTCTAAAGAGAATACCAGTATTTATAAGCCAGGAGTTTTCTTACACTTTATTTCAGAAAATAAAATCTTACACAGAAATCACTGTAAACAGATTAATAGTTACTCTGGTTAAAACAAGATATCGTGTGAGTGGGGAAGGCTTCTAGGAATATTCAATACTAGCTCTTCTATCCCCACATGTTATTCAAAATGAAAAACCCAATAAAGGTTCATAATTTTTTCTTGGTGAAAATCATTTATATAAATTAAAATGTGTATAACGTCTATAACTACAATTATGTGCCAAAATTTCAATGGGGATTAAGCTAGAAGAGACTTCAAAAAATAAAACTATCAGCCGGATGCTGGTTACTCACGCCTGTAATCCTAGCACTCTGGGAGGCCGAGGCGGGAGTATCGCTCAAGATCAGGAGTTCGAAACCAGCCTAAGCAAGAGCGAGACCTGTCTCTGCTAAAAATAGAAAGAAATTAATTGGTCAACTAAAAATATATAGGAAAAGTTAGCCAGACATGGTGGCACATGCCTGTAGTCCCAGCTACTCTGGAGGCTGAGGCAGGAGGATCGCTTGAGCCCAGGAGTTTGAGGTTGCTGTGAGCTAGGCTCACTCGACGGCACTCACTCTAGCCCGGGCAACAGTGTGAGACTGTCTCAAAAAAAAAAAACACTACTACTATTATTATACATGAAGATGTTTATATCTTTTCAGATAATACATCCAGCATCCCTTACTTTAATTCCCTTCGAACAGCATACTTATTTTATTCAGGTATCCAAACCATGCCATCATGGGAAACTGACCTCAAGCCTCCCTTACCCATCCCCCTCGTTGGTTTCAAGGTAACTCCAACACCCTTATAGGTAACTGTTTCACGAATGGATAAGAAAACCAATTTGGACAAGGAAAAGTGAGGGGAAGTCTGTTGGGGGATTCTAGGAAGTTTCCATTCTCTTAAGAACAGACAGTCGCTATTTGCCCTGCGTTTTTCTTGCAAGTCGCGCGTCTCTCTCTCAGTTCCTCTAAATACGCGTAAACAGCTAACTGGGGACAGGGGCTGTCTTACTGGGCGCTCTATTCCGAGCACAATGCCGAGCGCACAGTGGGCATCTAATGGATGTTTTGTTGAATAAAGCACGGCCCCAGAAGCTTTGAGCCCCAGAGCCCCCACAGTCCGTGACAGAGATTTCCCAAGGCTCTGGCTCGGAACTGACTGAGCAGCCTCGACTCGCCACCCAAGACAACGCATTGATTTCTCCGGCGGCCACAGGAGCGACCGGCCGAACGAATACGAGCTGCACAGATCGCACGGGGAACGCGGAGGGAACGCGGGGAAGGTCAGGTTCGTCCGGGGACGCCTCGAGGCCGTTAGCCCCGGAGCCCCACCCCCTTCGCCCCCTTCACCTCCTGTACATCCACGACATGGCGCAGAGTGGGATGACAAGGGGAACGCCGAGGCGCCCCCGGGTCGCTCTCGAGCTGCCTCGACACGCCTCCTTCCAGGCCCCGCAGCCCAGAAGCCCGCGACAGGTTCGGAGCGCAGGACCACACCGCTGAAAGGTAAGACGCCGCGGCTCCAGTCAGACGTCTACGCCTTCTCCTTCTGCAGCAACCTCAGAGGCCAGCAACGCTCTGTGACTGGCACCGGGAGTGTCTAATCGTGAGGAGGAGACCGCGGAGACAAACCAATCAGATCACGAAGAGCAGGGCAACTCCGCCCCGCGCTGCCATTCCAAGGCGGTGGGGGGTCCCGGCTGCATAGGCGGTTCCATCCGGGTTCTTCCCCGCCCCCAAGGTGGGCGCGCGGGAAAGCCACGTGTCTCCGGGAGTGCGACTGCGGTGCCCGCGGCGTCTGCGTTTTCTGTTTAGTAGGGAGTCAACTCTCCCTTCCCAAGACCTAAGACTCAGCCCCATTCTTCTGGCCCTACATCATGCTGCTTCTCATTTTGTCATCTGATGTGATTCGTTATAGGGTTTTCCACTGAATGTGCTCCGCGATATATGGGACCTGTAGCTACCTACCAGCGAGGTACTTTCCTTCATTTCTTGTGGCGAGCCCTGGGGACTTAAAGCACATCGTACTTTTCATTTGAAGCCTCAGTAGCGTGTCTGTGAAGCACGCTGAGTTCGGAAAATCTTAAATGGAACTTACAGAGGCCCCTACTCACCTCATTTTGTCGTTTTTAAAGAAATTTTTCATGTCTTAGTACAGGAAAGCCGTAATATGCAAAAACAGCACAGCCAACTGCGGGCGATCGCTGGCAACGGTGCGCGGGACCGGCTTCCCCGCGGGCACGTGGCTGCCTGCCTGAGGCGGGAAGCAGCCGGGTTTCCTCAGGAGACTGCAGGGGCTGCTTCGAGGCTCTTCGCTGCCAGTTTTCCAGACTCTGAGGTGAAAGAATTCGGCCCCAGCACCCGCGCCCCGCTGCAGACCTGCACCTTGGGGTGGAGGTGGGGCTGCTGCCCGGCGAGCAGACAGCTTCAGTGTGACTCTGTCAGATGAGATTGCTGGATCACAGGGGAAATGCATTTGTAAACGTGATCAGTATTGACACGTGCCGTCCGTAGAGTTGGCTCATTTTACTTCCCTCTGCAGAGTATGTCAAGTGGTCAGTTTTTGAAGAGACTTTGTCCGTTATGTTAAATAATCTATAGTGATTCGTGACCAAGAACCATAGGATGAGCGGTAGAATTTGAAGCAATTTATAATTTCAGTTCACCAAATAGGAAGTTGAAGATGAAGACAATGGCATTTCAAGTTATTTTAATTATTTTACTTTCTTCTTGAAGTATTATGAGGCAGATGGCAATGCAGCTCAATTTTTGGTGTGCCAGATTCTAATTCAGTACTTGGAAAATATGCCAGAAAATGCTCAGGTTGATAATGTTTTGTGTATAACAGTAATGAAGTCCTGCTCATTAGAATAAAGGAGAAAATTCCAAATGTGAGAATGTGGCTCTTTCAAGACTTACGAGGTATGTATAATGGCTGCCCCATGGATAAAGAATGTAGCTTGAATGAAGTATGATTTGCTATTTAAAATCAACAAGTTTCTCCATATTGTCAGTATTTTACATCCCAGAACCAGCAATTGAGCTGGAATACTCTTTCACTCCTTTATTCTTTCTGTTTTAAAATATCAAGTGCAATTTGTATTAGTTTGATTAAAAATGTTATAATTACAAATTCAGAACTATCACACTATATAATATTTCTGAAAAATGAGCATTTGTAACTGGAATATGAAGTATAGGGTGGCTGTGTGGTTTAACTGATGAGTAAGGAGAACCACGCAAGAAGGTGAAGGCTGGAGGCTTTCTTCACATCCCAGCTTCAACAAGCAGAGGCAGGAGGCTCATTTCCATCCATGTGGTGGGATGAATTATATCTGCAGTGGGTGCCTGCAGAAGGTGTATGGAATCCAAACATAAGCCCCGTGGAGTGTAAGAGGAAGGGGACTAAATTTGAAACCTGAATTTAAATGACTTTAAATCTTAAAAATGACTGAACTACTTGGAAGTGACTAAATTAGGCTATCTCCCCACTAGGCAGATGAAGGTTTAAGACAAATTAAATTCATTAAAGAAATACAGTTTTACCTTTGCAAATGGAGTCAGTGATTGAAATTTGTACATGGTATATACATCCATATACACACCCACATCTTGATGAATTTACACCTAGATATTTATAGCAAATACCAATAGTTTATTAAATCATGGGATTTTTACTTTCTTCTTTTTGCTTGTATGTATGTAATATGTTCTTTATATTGAACATGTATTTCTTTTTTGCCATAAGAAAATAAGATAAAAATTAAAGACATTATAATCTATTTTTCAACTTTATTTTTTAACTAATTTTAGACTTACAGAAAATTGCAAAAGTAGTACAAGTTGTTACATCCCTACTCCACTTATTAATTTATTTAAAATTATTTGTTTTGGAAAACCCCTGTATGATTATCCACTTATTTTAACATCATATATAACCATAGTACAATAATCAAAACCAGGAAATAAACGTTGGTGCAATACTATTTCTGAACCATTTTTTAAATAACCGAAGAAGACAATGCAGTAGAAATGATAGAAAAATAACATCCTCTGGACTTAGTTATTTACAATGGAATTTTCTTATTCTGAATCAGGCCACTACAGATTCTACGGCAGAATCCTTGGTAAAATCATAGCTGACAGGGCAGAAGTGAAATCAAATTAATGCCAAGTAAAATTCTTCTTAAGTAATACAATGAATATTAAGTGCCAGGCCTGAAGTAAGCACTCAATAAATGTTCCTGTTATCATTACTATTATTGTTGTAATAGAGTTATTTTCTAATGAGTCCTCCAGCACTTACCAAGGAATATGGTTGAGTGAGGCCAATTTCCTGATTGAGGCTCAATCAGCAGAGTTGTTCCTAAATACCAGAATAACACTGTTTCCAGAAGCCTGTCATTTTCCCAGGTCCTTGAAGCAGAATGAATTGTTTCATCAAGGACCAGGAGACACTCCAATCTCAACTCCCACCTTGAGAAATTTTTGCTGTTCCAGATTATACAGCTATTTCCCAGGAGATAATTGTTTCCTCCTCCCTTTAGGCCTTGGCTTACTAAATGCCCTTACGTGGCCCAAACCCAGTATTGCTGAGGCATCAGTCTGGCCTGGGATCAATCCTCTCCTTTGCTTCCTACCCAGGGACCTTTCCCCAGCTTCAGGGAATTGCCACTGTAGGCCATGGAATGATTTAGTGTTTCTGTCATGGCCATGGCCAAAGTTATCTTTTTATTTTAATGAATACTGCAAAGTTGATGAACATTTTTCTACCCCCTTTATGGCTAGAAAATTAAAAGGCTAAAACTTCAATGCTAAACACATTTTTGATGTAATAAAAGATACTAATTTCTTTCACGTGGAAAACTATATTGTATTAGTAAATCACTGTTTGTTTGGGTTTTTTTTCTTACAGAGTTTTGCCGTATTGCCCAGGCTAGACATGAACTCAAGCAAGCCTCCTACCTCAGCCTACCAAGTAGCTGAGACTACATATGTGAGCTATGCTGTAAATCACTGTTTTTAATCATCGCAATTCACAAAACTATTGTATCCTACAGCCATACATAAGCTAACCCAAAAATTACAGTTAAACTTGTCATTTCAAATAGTCTTTTAGAAAATAAAAAAGAAAAGAACTCTATAAAAATATCAAACACACTTCTCGAATTTGAAGAAACAAATTCTAATCGTTTTTAAAGGAATTTAATCTCTGGATCTAATAGAATTAGAAATTCTAAGAGATTCAAATTCACAAACAGATGAAGTTTTAGAGTTAGAATGTATTAATATTAATAGCCCATTGCTGTAATTAATATATATTACATTAGGAAATACATATCAAATTGCTAACTTTGTAACATTTACAAATAAAATTTCCACTTCTCAAACATTTTTAGATAAGGTGTTAGGTTAAAGAGAAAGAAGGTGGAATGTCCCCCAAAACAAACATTAAAGTATTAATGACCTAGGTTGACACATTAAAGTCAGCACAGCTGGTTTCATAAAACTCAGCTTATTAGGAAACATCCTAATTTTTGGCTAAATTATAAATTTGTGAAAAAGAAAGATAATCAAAAGAAGGACAAGGCATATATTTTTACCTATAATATTAACATAGATTTTTTTAAAAGGATGAGAAACACAACTAGCCTGGTATTCTAAGAGGAGTTCTTTCAGATATTTCTGGTAGAAGATAAATGACTATTCACTGGTTTAAAATTTGCTATTTATTTGGAAAACAATTTGAATTTAGAAAACAAATGGCAATATTGGCACATACATCAAATTTTTTTTACTAAGTACCAAATAGTCTCAATCTTTTCACTAAGTACTCCTTTATTATAGAAAGATTGTCTAAAATGTAATCAATTTATCCTGGTTTTTAATGAAGAAATTTTGAACCAATCAAAGCTTCTAATTAGCATTAACAAACTTGAAATAATATTATTTGAGTAAAAACAATTTTTAAAAGCTTTGTTTAACTTATGCATTCTAGTTGATGGGATATGTTTAATTATTTTTAATGTCAAAAACATGTGAATAAATACTATTACCTTTGTCAGGGTACCTGGCCTTAAGCCGAGAATTATAAAGGACACTGTATATACACACACAAACAGAAATAAATATACATGGTGATTAAATATAAAAGATAAGTAATGAATGGTCTCTAATTATACAAAAGGAAACAATGCTTATTTTTCATGAGTTTATAATATAGCAAGGGGCAGAAAGAGAGACAAATCACTAAACTACAAGGGAGATTAGTAATAGAGATAAAAAGTACTGTGCTCTGAAAACAAGACAACAGATGTTCTGAGGCTTCAAGTACTGAGTGACTTGAAGCCTCAGAGTGGACTTCAATGCCTGTGTTGTGAAGTGGTCTCCAAAGCTGGAGAAAAAGGCACCAAGTCACAAAGAAGCAGCCCATTCAAAAAATGATGAAGTATTTGTTTTTAGTAGAAGGATGTCTAATGAGAGACTGTATAAAACAGAAATGAAAACCTCATCCAACTAAAGCCAGAAACAATGCAGTTTTGTATGTCTCAATTCAGAATAGACTCTGAGGTGGCCA